GCAGAACTTCTTGTAAGAGATACCCAAACTCACGCTTTTTATATTTTTTCACCCACTCTCTCAACCCTACTAAAACCAGACTTTCTCACTTTACCTAAACTGCTCAGTAAGGTCAACAATGGCCTGCACATGGTCAATTCCTAGACTTTAGCTCATTTGAGCTGTAATTGGAAGATGCTATTACATCACTCCCTTCTCCTGGATATCCTCTCTGCTCTTGGCTTCTGGCACATCACAACCTCTTGGTTATTTCAATGGCCCCTTCTTCTAATCTCCTTGCTGGCTCCTTCTCACCTTTTTAACCTTTTGCTAAGTAGCTCCAAGACTCAGCTCTTGGATTTCCTGTGATCTCACACAAGCTCATGGTTAAAGTTGAAGGGCCGTTAACAAGCCAATGATTGCAGGCCAGACCTCTTCCTCCACTTCTGCACAGATAACTGCCTACTTGACATTGTCACTTGGATGTCCAAGAGACATCTCAAACTCAACACATCCCGAATCCCTCCTTCCTCTGAATGTGGGGAGCAGCTACAGTGTTTGGACAGGTTCAAGATTAATGAGAGGGCACAGTCCTCTCGTGGCCACGTGCAAATCCCAGCTTGGAAAACTGAGCCCTCTCAGCACAATGATAGCCAACAGCTGTAGCTGTAAGCATGAACCTATGGTCTGAACACGTGGCCCCACGTGCCTGAGAGATGTAGGCTTGATAGAGTTCAGGTGCATGTCATTGAGTAGGATTGAAAGCCATGAAAATGTTGTAAACATCTTGACCACACCCTTACTTTGCCTCGTGGCGTCTGCTATAATATAAAATAAAGACACAGCTTGTGGGTGGTGGTGCTGTCTCTCAGAGAAGCAGCGTCCCACTGAGACCCAGCTTTCATTCTCTTGGCTGTTTTCTAAGCCTTCCAGCCACCCCCACACAGGGACCCTTGGCTGTGATGGCGCGGCACATCTGAATGCCTGAATAACCTTCTCTTGTTAGGAACTCTAGGCTTCAAATTGCTCAAATCAAAAATCCTGTGGTTATTCTCCATTTAAAGTGCATAATCTTTCTCTCATTACAGAAAACCTGTAGGTTCTGCCTTCAAAAATATATCTAGAATCTGCCATTTCTTACTACTCCACAATGACTATTCTTACCAACTGCCTCTATCCCCTCAAAAATGTCCTAATTTGAGTAAATTATAGCTCCACTAATAGAAGGCTCTCCATGGTCTCAACCCCATCGCCACCCGTGTTACTGTGGGCCTCACCTATTACTTTACTGGCCCTCCACCAGCAACGCTGCACCCTTGCTAATCCTGGGTAAGCCAGCTACACTCCTGCCCTTGGGCCTTTGTTCCAGTGTAACCCCTCTGCCTGGAATGCTCTTCCCCTGGATATCCATGTGGCAGGATCCTCACCTTCTTCAAGTCTTTGCTCAGTGATTAGCTGTCAGTTGAGACCCTGTTTCCTAGTGCAATAAGCCTGTCCTCTCTGGTTCCATTGCCTTGCTCATCTTTTTCCTGTCTGCATTGCACTTACACCCTTTTTCTTTTTTTCAGATGAATATCTTTTTTTTCTTTCACTTTTTTATTAATGTATTATATATATATATATACATATCTTACCAATCCCCCCCACTCCCATACATGCCCTCCCTCCCCAGACTTTTGTGTCTATACTTAACACCCTTTCAACATACACAAAATTTTATCTGCTTATTAATGCATTTTATTTCTTATCTGTCTCCCTCCACTAGACTATAAGCCCTATCAGAGTAATTTTATTCACTGATGTACCTCAAGGGTAGGCCGTGCCTGGCACATATACACTGAGTGGCCAGATGATTATGATCTCTAAATGCATAATCATCTGGCCACTCAGTGTATATCCTATATAATAAAAGGCGAATCTGCAAATTGTCTCTTTGACCGGGAGCTCAACTAGCGGGCAGGCTGGCCAACCACCCAAGTCCCCTCCCCCTGGCCAGGCTGGCCAGACCCCACCCATGCACAAATTCATGCAACGGGCCTCTAAAAATATATATAATATATATGTATATATGTGTATGTATATGTGTGTGTGTGTGTGTGTGTCTGTGTGTGTGTGTGTTTCCGCATTATGATTCTTCTGCTTGAAATAGACAATGCCAAAATGTCTAATTTTCGCCCACCTTCTTCACCTCCACTCAGTAGGTTAAGGATAAAAGCAGATTAATATACGAAACATAACAATTCTGAAATGAATTATAATTTACAATTTTCAGAATTAGTGATTAAAATGAGAGATCCATGGTGTTCTTATCTAACCAGCACCGAATATGAACAGCTTACATTTGAACTCAAGTTCACTTTCAAAGCTTCCCAGTTTAGCTTCAAGAAAACCCTGACCAATACTGCCACCTACTGCTCAGTAGGTGAGAAATCAGGACAATGAGGTTGAAATTGCAACCCAGTTTAAGTAGGAAAAGGCAATAATGAAAAATCCCACTAAGTCATAAAATAAACTGCTTTTCCCAAAGAGTGCAGGGTAACCAGTTCTCCATAAATACTATCTCTCTACTTTTCACCAGCAACTCCCTTAAAAATTAGGATGTTTGAGGCTCAAAGCAAACATAGTTGCTTTTGTTTTCCATCACAGAGCAAATAAAAACTAATCTACTCTCAGTAAAATTAACTAGAAAAGTAATTACAAAAAAGCATTTGAGCCCTGGCTAATTTATCTCTGTGGACAGAGCATCGACCTGAGGGCTTAAGGGTCTTGTGTTCAATTCTGGTCAAGAACTGGTACCTCAGTTGGAGTGCAAGCAGGAGGCAATTGATGTGTCTCTCTCACATCAATATTTCTCTATCTCTGTCTCTCCCCTTCCTTTCCACTCTCTCTTTTTAAAAAAAAAAGTGGTTTAATTCTAAGGCAATAACATATGAGGCTCTACACTATCAAGTTTCTCCTCGTTAGAAGTGTAGCTAGACGTCTATATTAGTCAGTTAAATGCAGCATTGTTCAATGTCAGTGAACGTGGGTCATGGGTCATGAGTTCTAAGAAAACTTCAAAATGACGTTTTCATATTTATTTACCAAGATCTGGCACTTTTTCATTCCACCCCCACCCGCCGGGGGTTGTAAATATGGTAAAAATTAGTTGACATACGATTTAGGATACCATTTATCTAAATCATGATATTCACTAACTACTTTTTTTGAAGTTCTATACCTAACCTGCTTTAAGTCTTTGATTTTGCTTTTATGTTAAGTGCTTTCATGAAATTAAACCATTAAAACTGCTTGCCAACTGGGAAATTAATATATATCATCAAAATCAGAACCAGAACACACTGTGTTTTGAAAAATGTTAAAGAACAGAAATTTGCTAAGAAAAAAAAAAAAAAAAAACAAAGAAGGAAACAAGTTTCTCCCACAGGTCTTCCCATTTAAAAAGTTCCAAAGGAGCAACAGGGGCAATAAGAGGGTAGAAATGTCTTTTAACAAAAACAAAACTAGCCCATAGTACACTCATGAACACGTAGGATTAAAAGTAATAATTCCAAGAGAAGATAATTTAGAAAAATGCATTTAATTATAAAAAAATTTTAAATAAAAAAGCAATGGCACAAATCACTAAAAAGTGAAACGATCATATATCCACAGGCCGTTCTTGTAATTATATGCTGAAAATTTATGACCGTTCTCATCAACAGCGTTTTCCCTCCTAATTAGAGTGACATTTAGAGCTTCTGAGAATGTGTCATTTTTCCTAAAGTACTACTAAAAGTATCATAAACACGGTTTGTGCAGCACTCATAGACATCACCTTTTATTTACTACACTCTACACTCATAAAATATTGAACATTTTTCTCTCACTTTATTCCTCTTATTTACAGAGAGGCTCATCTCTTGTCACAATACAGTTTGTGCATTAAAATCCCTGGGAATAGTACTTGTCGCAGCATTTTAATAAATCTACTCTGATTATTTAAAATAAGTACACAAACAAAAGCTTGTTCATATGACTGTGTCATACCCAGAAGAATAAGTCTTCCCGCAGACTTACTTATGAGTTAAAAAAACAAAACAAAACAAAACAAAACAAAAAAACCCTCTTTGGGTAGAATACATTCTCAACCATTCCTGGATTAGACTCTCATGCATATTTATATCTCTAGTATGACAATAGGTAAAGTTAGCTAGGACTTTTTAAATTTCTTTTAGAAGAGGGCAGCATACATGAAGTGATTTGGCTTTCAATCGCTTATTATCCATAATCCAGTTATTCCACATGGACATATTTTATTTATTCTTAGTATACAAGTCTTTAATGGTTCCGGGGTAATTGGCAGTTTCTGACAGTTCTGTTTTTTTGGTAGTGGATACAGTTCTGTGCACATATGTCAGATGAACTGGAAAAAAAAAAGCAAATCACTTCATATGATACAGCAGGGAGAAGGAAAAATGTTATCTTTTGAACAAATGATTCAAAGAGATGAATAGTCAACATTTGACAGTCACAGGAATACTACCGAGTTTGGGCTGTTTTAAGACGTCCTAATTTCATAACTGGCCATACCTGGCATTTGTTATCCTTTCTGTTAAAAAGCAAACCTAATTGGGGTCGGGCAGATACAAGGAGGAAAGGTAAGAAAGTATATATTACCGTATACATGATTTTTAGGAGAAAAAAAAGTGAGAGGGAAGAGGATATATTTCATATAAAAAAACAAACAAACAAACAATGTCACATCTGGGCACATTTCACAGGGTACATGAAAACAGCCTACAAGTTCATTAAGCCTCTTTCCTCTCACTCCAGAGATATTTATTTTCTAGTAATGGTCAACATAATAATTAACATAATTCTGGCAGCAGCACAAATCTCTAACTTTTTGAGACTTGGGAGTGTCACTGTTTAATGGTTGGATGCATCCGAATAGCAAAAGAGTCCTGCCGTTTCTTCCTTTACACTCTTGACCAAGCAAGTATTACTGAGGAAGTCCTGGGGTTAGCTCAGCAGGTCTTCTACGAAGGCTTGGACTTGATAACCCATTCGGCATTCGGGTTGAGCTGATATAAGTCCTTCATGTAAGTGTCATCATCGAGACAGCGTTCCCCTATTAACGACAGGTTGCATTGGTTTCATACAGTGGGGTCACTGGGATGCAATTTTCAACATAAGCCTATGTCTTAGACTTTAAATATTTTTTCATCATTTGATATCTCCCATAAAATTATACTAGTAAAACTGACCAAAAAACATTGGAGAAGCCAATTTTGTGGTCTTTCTATAAATGCACACGTTTCAAATTAATTTAGGAGGTTGAAAGTACTTTGCGTGATAGGCTTTTAAATGGTTCCTTAAAAGCGTATTCACCTTTATGAAGGGTGACAACAGTTTTGAATCCCCCTAAGAAAGAAATCATTCTTAATTCCCCAAAATCTAAGAGTAAATTATAAAATAAAATACATTAATATTTAAATATTCTTTACTAATCCAGGTTTCTACTGGAGCTGTGGATATTTAAATTTTAAAAAGGAGCCTTCATGGTTCTGCATTCAACTTAACACTTACTAACATTTTTAAGTCCTAAAAATAAAATTCTACAGAACTTACCTTAAAATATTTTCAGTCACTATTTTGAAATAAACACCATTTCATTTATTTGTGAACAATTTCACCCTTACCATTATAAGGTTCAAAAAATGGGGGGAACATGTATTTTAAATTTTAATAAATATATGAGTATAATAAATAGGCAAATAAAATATAAGACATGGTCAAAATTAATCCATGTATCCTATTTCTGTTTCCTAAATTACTAACATATGTGTGTGTACTATTTAGTAGGCAATCAGCAATGGCAAAAATAACTTCTGCTTTCACTAAAAATATCTAATACTGTACTATAATAAAAATGTTATCTTGGTCTTAAATAAGCTCAACTACTTCCTTTATTAAGATGAAACATAAGCATATAAAAAAAGAAAAAAAGTTTTGAAAAACTTAATTAACCATTTTAGAAATTATATCTATTTTAGGAAACTTGCCTTGGCCAAGATTCAACATGGATGTGGATTTGTACAGAGGAGCTCCACGTTGAAGAGAAAGGCCAGACCTCTAAACAAATCCATAATACCAACAATGTACGTTGTGCTCTATGTTACTTCTTCTACCTTCCCTTCCCCCCAAAGATACAAATAATAATCATTGGCAATGTCCAGTCAGCATATGAAATACAGAGAGAGAAAAATACGCTTACCAATATTCCCTCCAATTTCATACAAAAAAACTTCCCCTTTCTTGAGCGTCTGGGCGATCCCACTGTTAGGGGCAAAACAAACAGATTAGTTATATCATCAGACAGCTTGCAGGTAAATCACTTTAATGTGCTTGGGGAATTCTGGCTTGTATGGAAAATTCATAACTTAGACACACTGTAATTATCTCCACATTTATATTTTCCCATATGTTAAATGTGCCTAATATGTAATAAAAATGTCACACCTGTAAATTAAAATAAACAAATGGCAAGGAGAGGCAGTGGAGGGCGGATGCATAGGAAGAGATCAATCAAAGAATTTATATGCATAACCCAGGGTTACTGACAATAGGGTAGTGAAGGCCTGGGGAGAGGTGGAGAGTGGGCTAGAAGAAATCAATGGTGGTGGGGAGGTGGGGAGAAGGGGGACAAATGTAATACTTTCAACAATAAAAGATGAAAAATAAATAAAAATAAACAGGTGGAATCATATATCTAAAAGCAGAATAATAAGTGAAATATCTAAATTTGTAAAATTAAAAAGAAGGTAACACAACATTTTAATTGCCAATAAAATAATATGATCATCTACTTAGCATAGGGACCAAAAAGGTCTCACTAAAACTATGAAGAGAAATATTTGCACCTTAGTTTTCCCAATACTCCATAGTATTTATTATCAGGGGTTTGCTGGGCTGACTGGTCTGATGTGATGTAAGATAAATGTAAAGAATTGGACATGGCTCATAACCCTCCCATATATGGCCATCCAAATATGGGAGTACATACACTCAAAGCAGAAGTGAATACTTTGCCATAGCGTGCATTCACAGGGTTAAATTAAAAGGATAAGCTATTAGAGACATTAGGTCAAACAATAAAAATGTAAAATTTGGTGGTTTTTGAAACTCTGTATACTAATTACCTGCAAAACCTGCTAAAAATTCTGTCCCAGAGCTCTGAAAACTCTGAGTTAGTATGCTAGATGAAGACCAAGAATCTTTTTAAATGCTCCATAGTGGGTGCTGATGCATGGGAAGGTTTGTGAACCACTCGTATAAGGCCCTGGGACTGAGAAGAGAAAACCAAGACTGACTCTTATCCAAACTGTTATGAGAAATATGGTACGGCAGAAGCTTTCCTAACCAACCATGTAATGACTTAGCTGGTTATCCAACTCTGTCTACTCTACTCCACACAGGGACATATAATGTCCTCACACGTAAGAACCACCTGCTGGCTTGTATTCTAACTAGGAGGTTTTGTTTCTGAACCGGTCGAACCAGTGTACGCTTATTTTTGAAATTAAACAATTTAATAATTTTATTTTTTATTTATAATGTAGTACATTTCCTGGTAAACTATGAGTAAACCAAGAGTATCATTATTCTTAGGAAAACAAAATTGAATATTTTGGGCGACTAGATTTTTAAAAAATCTCATCCAATATTGCTCTCAGATTGCTTCCCCATTATCTGTGTTCTTGTTCCAATTGAGAGAAACATAGATTTTCTGATACACGTAACCTTTTACGTAATGCTAATCAACAAGCCCACACACAAAGACAAGAAAGCAGCCCTTATCAAGACTGGTGAGTGAATGTGCAATTTATTGTGCATCTATTTTATCTCATTTATATGCTCTTGGCTTTGGTAGAAAAAGTAGAGGAGGATGAGGATGGACAAAAGTAGGATTTCCAACTGCCCCCACGCAGATGGAATGCAAATGAGAGGAGGGGAAATAGTGGAAGGGGATATATATATATATATATATATATATATATATATACACACATTTATTGAGCATTTCAATTATTAGATGGTCCAGCCAGACAGTGCTGTGTGCTTCATGTTCACTTTCCTAGTTAATCCTCAAGACTATAATGTAAGTCCTATCATGGTCCACTTTTATAAATGAGGAACCTGAAATTTGAAGACATTATAAAAACTAGCCTAGGATGAAATAGGAAAAGCTGGCATTTTAATCTAAATCACTGGCCTCCAGCACCCCCAAGCATAAGGAAAGGGGCTGAAGACTTAGGGGGGAAAGGAGGCAAATGGGCAGAGTTCACTGGACTTCCCTCTGGGTGGAGTAGGATGGGGAAAAAGGGGGAAATAGAAGAAGGACTCTGCCCCAGTGGATAGCAAATGCTTATTTAATAAAAGCACCACCAGCAGAAAATCCAAATATAATACACAGAAAACAACTGTCACAACGCTGGTGCTTCTGATAATACCCTAAATATTAAAAGGCACAGTTGAGTGTATTATACAACATTACCACCACATATTGTAATATGTGCATGCAAGGAACAAAAGTGCCAACTGCATTGAGCACTGGTGTCCTGAATGTGAATGCTCTGTCAATTAGCCAGACCCAGCCTGGAGGAGCGGCCGCACCTCCAGATACACTCTCTGGGTCGGGAAGAATTCTTCCCACAGTCCGGTGGGATCAATGGCAGCAGTTGGCATCTAAGCCATGGCAGGGGGTAGAGAGGAAGTGGGTTAACTGCATTTTAGGTCACAGACCCTTTAGGGAGCAGAGACATCTGAAAAATGCCAACTGCTCCTAGGGCTTAATCCTGAGAAATTCTAACTGCTCCTGAACTCAATCCTCCCAAATTCCATCTGCTCCCAGACTCTGCACCAATAGCCCCAGATCAAAGATGGTCTCTAGAAGAACCCTCTAGCCCATCTGGACAGTGGTTCAGGATTTAGAATTCGGCTCCACTGCCTACAAAATGCGTGGCCTTGGGAAGTCTCTCTCCTCAGGAAAACAGATGTCATGTGAGAACTTACTATGGAGCGCTGTTGAGAGGGAAGTTCACGCTGGCTTACTGAAAGCCCAGATATTACCAATAAGCCTCTCTTTTATGTCATCACCATCTGCTCGCTATGCAGGCTCATCTCTTTCCCCACTTTGCAAAGCCCGAGGGGAGATAGTTTAAAATATACGTTTATACCCCTTCCACCACTGAGCAGAGGGCCTTCCATGGAGCAGAGACATAGTGAGTGTTGGGGGTAATTGTGTGGCAATCCGGGAGCATTTGAAGAAAGCTGCCAGGAGGCCTCTGAATGTTAACATAAGGAGATCAAAGTCTATGGAAGGCTAAGACCACCTGCCTGGGTTGAGATGGCAAGGCCCCGGTTTCCCTGGCTTCTTAAAAATGTATATCAGTTTGTTTTCAATGAGTGGGCGTGGGGAAGAGGAGGGCATTACAAATATAACCTTAGTTAAAAAATAAGAATTCAAAGGCTAAAAACCGAAAACCCAATACACTTGTTTGAACCTTGGAATGTCAAGAAAAGATAAGTGTAAACTTTGATATTATCGGAGAGATGCCAATGGCTTTCAAAGGACTCTTGCCCAACCTGCCTTCAAACAGAGGGAAGGCTGGGCAACTCAGTGAGGGCAGGAGCTCAAGGGGCTGGTTGTCCTCCCTTAATTCTTCACCTTCTGCTTTTAAACATAAGCATTTTTATACATTATATTTTATAGAAAAAGAAATGTCTTGCTGAAACTGGTTTGACTCAGTGGATAGAGCATTGGCCTGTGGACTGAAAGGTCCCAGGTTCGATTCTGGTCAAGGGCATGTACCTTGGTTGCGGGCACATCCCCAGTGGGGGGTGTGCAAGAGGCAGCTGATGGTTGATTCTCTCTCATCAATGTTTCTAACTCTCTATCCCTTTTTCTTTCTCTCTCTAAAAAATCAATAAAATATATTTAAAAAAGAAAAGAAGTGTCTTTTATTTGTTTGTTTTAATCCTCCTGTATCCCAATTAGTGCTAATACACAGTAATTACTCCCGAACTACCACAGTCTGGAAGGACCACCATGTGGTCTCATGAGCCAGGCTCGGGCAGGCCGAAGGGATGCTCGGACACCCGGCTTGAAACAGGCTCCATGCAAACACAAACTCTGTTAGGTGAACTTGACTCCTTCCAACAGTCGAACTGTTAGGTCTGCTCCTCCTCTCTGCTGAAGAGACAACAATTCTATGCACTTCATACCACCCATAGTTTAAAAAAGGAAAAAGAAAAGAAAAAGGAGGGGCAAGGAAGAGAGGGGACAAGCGAGCTAGTGAGTTATTCCGTGAAATAATTAACACAAAACAGGCCTCTACCTTTCTTGGCTGAGAAACCTGGCAAGCACGTCACTGGCTTTCAGTTCTTCCGTGAGCTGTATTGCCATGGAAACTTTGGAAAGATGAGGAGCTTGCACTCGAATCACTCCCTGAGGAACGTCAGCCTGCAAAGCAATAATGACACTGGAACAAAGCTGGCGGCAGCTGGAACTTGTAACTCTGTGCGATGCATTATATGGTAAGTGTGCTTAACTGCTATGCGTTTTACTTCACTACATAAAAACCTTAACTACTGGATAATGTAATTTGCTAAATTACATCAAACCTCAAATATCCTCGTAATGGTGATAGGGGAACTTTATAATGCCTGTGCAGTAATGCTTAATTATTTTTAAAGATGTAAAGAATGACAGCAATAACCATTACTGCCATATTAAGTGCCGACTTCGGAGGGTTATCTAGGGGAGGGTGCTTCTTCATGCAGCAATTTATGACATTGAGTCAGAATAGGTATTTTGTGCGCTGTTTCCATGGGTGCATTTTTTAAAATCTTCCGGCGCATTCACAACATTGGACAAAAAAATTCTTGTCCCCGAGAATATTTAAGTAAAAGTAAAAAGAAACACACTTTTCTAACACATTGGCATTGTGTTGGATCCTCAGTTAATTAATGAGCTTACAGGGTGACCACATACTTTGAACTTATGGTATATATTTGGAGGGATATCAAGGAAATATTTTAAGGATTATAATATCAAAATATCAGCTATGGCATCCAAAATATTAGGCTTAATTAATCTCTAATCATTCTGCCAAATGAAATAATTTATTACTTATAACCATATGTCTTAGTCAGACCCTAGGAAAAAAACAACCTGTACAAATGTTTAAAGATAACGCTTTATACATTCCAAGTACCCTCAAATTTATGAAGCATCTACTAAGTACGAGGCATTGTGCTAGGTCTACCTATCTAGCAGATAAATAAGACACAAGCCCTTTATTGCACAATATTGTTTTGGGGCTCACAATAGTTTTTATTTAATGCACATGGGCTTGAATTGTTTATTTTCCCCAAATATACAGCATGGATATAACACAGGAGGAATCAATGTGATTTCAGAGTTCATCAAAAAGAATATGGCTTCCTCATTAGGCTGCCTAAAAATGTAGATGTCTCCAAGAGATTGAACACTGCTCCTCAGTAACACCTGGGATGGGCGTCAGGAAGGAAGCTACACTGCAGAAGACTGTACAAGAAAGCACAGATGATGTAAGACCTACACCTGTTACACCTGCAGAGAGACCATAGAGGGCCTGGTGGCAACTCAGAAACCCTTTCACGGTCACCTGACCACTCAGTGAAAGGCACCAGTTCAGTGGACCACACAGTATTCCCTCCCCTCCTGGGAACACACAGGAAAGAAAGAAGAATGGGAACCAGAATTAAAGACACTACATGGATAATTCAGTCATTTTCTCCTGCAAGGAGTCACCGGCATTAACCTGCATCTGTGTAAGAATGCAGCCCCTTTTTCTCGAAGAAGCTCATGGAGAAAGGCCCCATAATATGACTACAGCCTCCAGGTTCTCAGGGATCATCCTTTGGAGAGTATGGCCATCCTTTCCTATAAAACACAGCCCTGAGTCAGTGTGAAGTCAGTTCCATAGCTGACACAGGAACCCAGAGCCTCTCTGATAATTCTAGTTTGGAGGGAAGAGGCCCAGGTACCAGGTCTTGGGCACTTCTGGGTTCTCACACGTATCTGAAATGTTAGGTAACTGTCATGCTATGGCTTTGGAAGTGACATTGGTACAGGTTCCTTGTGGCTTTGGAATTAAACATTTCTCACCCCTTCCCCTCAGTGAGCAGGGGGTGATGCCTGACCAGCTCTGGGTGAGTTTAACCCTTCCCAAAAGACTAACTATAATTTGGACTCATTTCACATGGGAATGGAATATCAATGCTCTTGAAAATCTTTTCACTGGGCCAATGGCACACTCCACCTTCCCAGGCTGACTGGCCACATTCCCTGACAACTAGGAACCTGTGTTCTACTAGGGAGGTGAGTGCCCTGGTGGGAATAGGAACAACTCTCAGAGTGTTCATTTATGTGGTATCATATCCCATCCAAATTCTCTCAACAATATAAAGACTGAGAGTGACTCAGTGTGGACTCTACTGTGCCCTTTACAGTAGGAGAAGAAATGAGTTTAACTGATAGACATAATGGATAAAGATGAAGCAACTGAAAAGTGTTTCTGGAAAGTTTTTCCTGGATATCTTGACAAGAGTGGCCAAATGATATTTACTAAAGATGATAAACAATACGCAGTGCCAAAGCTCTCATTTAAATGGTGTATGACAATTACCATTAAACTCCAGAACCATGTTGTATCAAATACGAAAGCTATTAGTATACTAATTACACTGAGCTGCCAAACTTTGAACATACACAACATGCCTGATCATTAAGCCAAACAGTCTGTTATTAACCTGAGCCATAATAATAACTGGATCTCTGAATAATATTATCATTGTAACGTGTGTGTGTGTGTGTGTGTGTGTGTGTGTGTGTGCGCACGCGCGTGCTTATGAGCTGAAGTTATGTGATGCACAGCAAGACTAGAAAAGAGCAGAATGACTAATAAGCCATTAAAATTGAGTCACAAAGGATTTTACAACTTACAAAACATTAGTTAATTTCTTATGCAGGCAAAGACTATTATAATAGAGAAAATCATCTCCCAGGGTTGTTACATGTTTTATATTTTGAACTCTAGCATATTTCTAAAAATGTGGTTTTATTTGTTATTCTTTGGATAAATAAACAAAGATTTTGGTTGTTTTTTTTTTTCCATAAGGTATAGATAAACACTACCTTAGTCATATTTTGCACTCTAGAGATTAGAAATATAATGTCAGAGCTTTAGAAAAGACATTCAATCATTTTTTAATTAAAAGCTAATTTAAATGAAAAGCTGACATTTTTCATGCACAGAGAAACCTTTTATCTTCAAAAGGGCAAATTGGGAATACAGCTATCTCAAAAAACAGCCAGATAGCATAACACTTATTTTAGAAAATTAAACAAGGACATTTTAGCAAGGTATCTTAAACTAAAATGGCATATTCATCATGTTGGTCTGATTGGAAGTAAAAATATAGAAGGCATTCTCTACTACCTTGAACTGTATCTATTCTCATTATAATTGGGCCTTGATTACTCAAATGCTGAAACTTTACCCAACTCACAGATTCTGAGAATTTTAAAGAAGGGTCAGAAAGAGCTTTCAGAGTTAAACATTTAATTTACAAAGAAATAAGCTCTGAATGGTTTTCTCTTTTAATATGGTATTTTTATGCACTATAAAAAAATCAAAGGATATCTTAAAAAGAAACATGATTTTGTTCCTGATTTTGTAACTTGATTTTCCACATGGGTCCCCAGGTAGATCAAAACACTGTTTGCAGACTTAAAGCAGATGCCTATAACAAGACTGGCCACAATGCCTGGGTCAGAGCTGTCAGTGGAACCAGAGATAGACTTCTAAACGGAGATGTGACTGAAGACACACAACCCATCACAAAAGACCCGGAGCCCACACTGCATTGCCCACTCCAGGGTTCTTATGGATTTCTTGTCCATGTCCAAAGCTCTAGACCTTCAAATGTTACAAGATTATTCTGGAGCTTTTGGCCAGTCATGTAAGCTCTCTGAAACTTGAGTTCCTCAACTATCAATGAAATGTATGACACCAGATCACCCTGAGTTAACACTGAAGTAACCATAGGAGAGAGGACTTTTGTTCCCTCTACCAGTGAGGACAGATGTGCTGATCAGTTTGGCTTATTTCATAGACTCTCACAAAGCCCACATGCTTTCCTACATGTGCAGCTTCCTTTTACTTTTAGAGGTGAGCTTGAGTGACAGAAAAAAAAAATGCAAATCTAACTCCACCATGGACTGGAGGGTTGCAGGATTCAGTAATTCATGACTAGATGCTCACCAAAGCTGCTCTGGATCCTTATCGGGCAAAGATGCAATCTACAGCCATTATGGAGGAAAGAATGGAATATCTCTATTTTCCTTAAAAATACTAAATGGAGAAAAAGTGTGATGAGAGACAAGATGGAACAAGATCAGAAAAATGAGTCTGATTATTGGTGATGGATTTATGGGGGTTCATATACTATCCTATTTTTGTGTATGTTAGGAAAATCTCGTAATAGTATATATAGAAATGTCCCAGTGCAAGATGCTGCTAGCTATACTTATGGTTAAATCCCATTAATCTGACCTTACCCTCTCATTTTATAGAAGAAACTGAGGCCCAGAGATGGAAAATGACTTGTCACTACCGTCTTACAAATAGCAGAGCTAGGCTCTGTCTGCAAGCACATGCTTCTGATGTGTGATGGTGTGTATATTCGTGTGTGCATGGTATGCTTGTGTGTAGGAGAGTGTAATACCAATCCCAACTATATAATTGAAGGCTATCATTACATGGTTATTTGTAATGGTCTATATTTTTGTTATTCTTTTACAAAGCGTTTCTTCCTGAAGTAATTAAGAGATGAGATGAGTCTCATTAGTATTTAAGAAATTCAAAAATTTACATTTGTACCAAACAATTAATATGCTGTAGTCATTAAAAAATATGTCTTATTAAGTAGATTGAGGGTGTCCTTTACAACCTGGTTTATACTATTCATTTACCTAGTCAAGCATGTCTTAATAACATAAATGCTTAATTATATACACTGAGTGGCCAGATTATTATGATCTCTGAATGCATAATAACCTGGCCACTCAGCGTATATCCTATATAATATAAGGCTAATATTCAAATTGTCCCCTGGACCAGGAGTTCGACCAACAGGCAGGCTGGCTAACCGCCCATGTCCCCCACCTCTAGCCAGGCTGGCTGGACCCCATCCATGCACAAATTCATGCACTGGGCCTCTAATATATATATTTACACACACACACACACACACACACACACACACACACACACACACACTGAGTGGCCAGATTATTGTGCGTTCAGATATCCTAATAATCTGGCCACTCAGTGTATAGTTAGCATTAACAGCATATAGAATGCTTTTAAAAAATATGACCTTGAAGAATTTTCATGATCTACCATCTCCTGTCTTACATCCTTCAGTCTCTGGCATCTGGCTTCTTCCATCAACACACAATGACAATGCTTTGGAGAAAGTCACAACTGGCCTTTCAAATACAAGCACCAGTGGACCTCCATCGAATGTTAACATTGCTCGGCTTCCCTGCAGAATCTGGTGCCACTTACCGAGCTCTTTCCCTTCCTTCCCTCCACCTCTGAGCTTCTAAGACCCTACAATCTTCAACTTTCTCTTACATCCTACCATCTGTTGGCCTCTTTCACAGCTCCTCTTCCATGGCCAACCACTTAAATATGGGCACATCAAATAGTAGTTTAACAAACAAATAAAATATCCGCAGTTTTATGCCCTATAGTTTTGTGCTGCATATTCAAATGATTTGGGCAATGAGTCAGGAAACATAAAATTACAAGTGGCAAGGGCAGGAGTGGGAAGACAGTGGCTTATCCAGAGTAGTCGGCCATGTTCCACCCAAAAGGAATGGTTGCTACTCAGATCCAGAAGATGGTTACCCTGCAGGGAAGGCCCCCTACTGAGAGGGGACCACAGGCGTGCCCCCACATAAAATTTGTCAAGTTAAGATGGAAACCCAGACTTATATGTTAAACCTTTTAGCTTTAAAGTTCGGGCAACTGATGGAAACTTATGCAGAAAACTCTGATTATTTAGTGACTCACCACACACCCATAGTATTGGATATGATCTTGTGCTTTATTTCTTGTTCTGTAATTGTTTCCTATGCATATTTACTCTCCTTAATAAAATAATAGACACTTGGGGAAAAAAAAAAAAAAAAAACTGTGGCAACTGAATAAAATTTTTCAACCAAAGCAACAGGCCAAACGAACCTCCGTGGGCCATGATCACATATAGCTACAACTCCGCCAGGAAGCTTGCTCTGCTAGCAACACCTGTCTCTTCAGTTTGCTGCCAGAATAAAACCTAGAGTGTTTTACATCTCAGCTCTACTCCCAAGTGAGGTCTCTCGAATGCCCATTTCCTGTTCTGTAGCCCAATATTCCAGGTTCGGGCTTCCATCCCACTCCCTCTCCCTTCTAAGGTCAATCCTCTCCTTGCTCCCTGTGGGTGAGCACCAGCCCCATCTTCCTGTGAATACCTGGCAGGGAGTGTGAGCTTGGAACCAAGGAGGCACTTAGCAGCATTTTGTTAAGAGAACTGCTGAATTTCACAGGAGAGAAAACCAAAACGTGGGAAAAGCGAGCCATACCTAATACATGATAAAACTGAGATTTAAAAATCTCAAGTCTTAAAATGACAAAACAGCTTCTAAAAAGTACAGAGATCATTCTCAGACCAGCTCTTGCTGTAAATCTAAAGAAAGCCAAGTAAATGCTGTTTTTCTGTAAATGACAAGATTATTTACATGCTACCAAAAAGTAACTCCTAATTTTTATTTAAAAACTTATTATTACAAAGGTAAAGCACAAATTCTATTTCCTTAGCTATATACTGGGCCTAAGAGTATCACGTTATTACTGCCATCAAAAGAAAAAAAAAAGGCTAGAGAGTCACCTAAGTTAATATGAAAAGCAGAGGTACAAAACACAAAGACATTCAAATACTTATAGTGGTTTTTTAAGTATTCAAAAGTAAACATCTGAGTTAAATAGAAATGATATTTCAAGAATCCTTTCTAACCTAGATCAAGCCCTTTCAGGTGGGGGGCAGGGGGGGAAGGAATACTATTTATAATTTCCCCTTTATTAAATTTTGTTTTTTCAGATACATAAAAATTGACCAAAAACCTTTAAAGACAAGAAATTTTGTTTTATAAGAGTAAGAGCTTGGATAAATAAAAGAGGGCTTTGTTGTTGTTGTTGTTTGTTTGTTTCAATTACTAGATCCTTAAGTAGGCCAAAGCAGAAATACCAAAGGCTAGTGACTGCATTTCTATATTATGCCACAAGATGGCACCATGTAACTGACTAACATCAATGGTGTGGTTGGGGGGGTGGTGTCTTCACTGTAAATAGAACAATAGAAACCCTTTCGTTTCATGTTAAGGGTTTCAAGTTAGAGCTTTGGTTAACTCTCTTCCCAAATGTGTTTTCATGCAAATCTCATGATTTTAAACCCAGATTTTAATGTATTCTTACAGTTGTCTGTAAATATTTTTTTTTTTTTGAAATATTTTCGTTTTCTCCACACTCTTCTTATGATCTAATGAAGAACCTTTAAGTACTTACTGAAGTCCAGGAGTGCCCCAGGCACAACACAAACATTGACCTCCCTGTCTTTGTGGGTTAGTTCTTTTTCCCCATTTCACAGATGAGAACATTCAAGAACAAAGACCGGAGTCCACACAAGGGATTCTTGACTCACTAGACATTCCGCATTCCCTGGGCAGCTGGCGTCTCCAGGAAGTGCTTTGCTGTGTATGTGTGGGTGGGTGTGTGCTGAGACATTCTGGTCTTATCTTCCTTTGTTACCAATTAACAGCTCACTCCTTGAATCCCCAACACCTGAGCAACAGTCCGGACCAGCATTACCCGGGGCAGGAGTGCTTACCGCCACGGATGCGTCTCACTTACACGTCCTGCTAGGACCTAAGACTGTGTAGAAAGCCACACAACAAACACACGCAGACCTCTTTGCTGTGTGTGATACTAAAAACAATACCGAAATCTGTGCAAACACGTAGCTTCAAGGTTTTCTTACATCATTTGTGCTTCTATCTTGCTTGTCATATTTTTCTCGGTCGTAAGCCATTTTCTTCAGCAATTTCTTCACTGTTTTCTTATCTTTCTTAAGATTTTCGGTGTTTTGCTTCCTCACTTGGTTGACAAGAAACTTGGGAATCTGTGGAGAAATACAACTAAGTTTGGAGAGGTAAGAAAAGCTGCAGCATTTTAATCTACGGAAATAATTATATACTCAGTAAGGGCTTCGCCTCTTGGATGAATCTATGCCATTTTGCATGCCCTTTTGCATTAAATCGGTGAAACAAAATGCACTGTATTATCCGTGCACTATGTGCACAGGGAGTCTTATCTGCAGGATGCAACTCACCATCTACTGTGCAAAGTTCAGCTAACCTGCAGTCCCCGTCTAATGGCCAACCAGCTCTCCCAGAAAGGGAGAAAGAAAAACTCACAAATACGTGAGAGCTGACAGGTATCTAGCAATAATCCCAGAACAACCGGTACTCAAAATATTTTAGAAGTGACCAAATTGAAAGAATAAAATAATGCCGGCATTTTAAAAGTTAAGATTTAACACATGGATATTACATTTTTAAAAATCACATTTGAAATCGCCTACATTGGTTGGTTACCTTTTTATGGAAAAGATAACAATTAATAAAAAAAGACTTCAGGTATCATCACTCATTAACAAAGCTTAAAAATATATACTTACTGTCCACAGAATATTTTGATACCTAATCATTAAGTGCATGGTATTAGCTGTCCCAGCTGCCATTGCAAATTCTCGCTGCTCGCTGGACTTCAGACCTAATGCATGACACATGAAGAGGTTGGGGGCCATGACCATGGCCACATTCATGACGGTCATCTTATTTTCCTCTTTATTGTCTATTACTCTTTGGAGAAATTCAAGCAGGGCCTGAAACAGAAATGACTCTTGGAGCTTTGTGCTGTATGTGAAGGTTAGAGATTAGAGCACTGTAGCACATGGGATTTTTATTTAGTTAAAAAAAAAAGAAAAAAAAGAAAAAAAAGAAAAAAAAGTTATGCCCAGCCAGTGTGGTTCAGTGGTTGAGTGTCAACAGTTCAATTCTTGGTCAGGGCACATGCCCAGGTTGTGGGCTTAATCCTTAATGTGGGTGTGCACAAGGCAGCCAATCAATGAATCTTTCTCATCATCGATGTTTCTATCTCTCTCTCCCTCTCCCTTCCTCTCTGAAATCAATAAGGTATCTATTTTTTAATTAAAAATATATATATAGTTATGCATAACTACAGCTCACTAGCCACATCCAGCAGCCTGGCATGACAGCTTCTCCATTTGGTAAATGTGCTCGGAGGCGAGGCCTGTGTCTGCTCAGGACTCTGGGACTGGGACTAGGGTGGAAAGGTTCAGACACAGGTGGTGGGGACAGGAATGGAGATGTGTCAGGCCAACAGCCTGCCAGAGCCAGGGAGTACTGGGAAGCAGTTTAAAATACGGTACCAATAGTCACTTGTTTCAGGAAGTGTGTTCTTTTAACTTCCGGGATTAAAAAACAAAACGATCCCCTTAAAAAGACTCATTTAACCTTAGTTTCATTTGCTCTAAGGCCGTGGTCGGCAAACTGCGGCTCAGGAGCCACATGCAGCTCTTTGGTCCCTTGAGTGTGGCTCTTCCACAAAATACCTCGGCCTGGGCGAGTCTGTTTTGAAGAAGTGGTGTTAGAAGAAGCTTAAGTTTAAAAAATGTGGTTCTCAAAAGAAATTTCAATCGTTGTACTGTTGGTATTTGGCTCTGTTGACTAATGAGTTTGCCGACCACTGCTCTAAGGTATTCAATAGCTGCCATGAAATCTAAAACAAATGGGGATGATGATGGGAGAACAAGAAAATGAAGAGAGACAAAGAAAAGAGAGTCTTGAAAAACACATGAATGAATGAATGAATGAATGAATGAATGAATGAATAGGACCTTTTCACCAGAACGAGCTAGTTTATGCTCAGATTGATGCCAGCCACTTCCCACCTCTATTGCCAACACCCAGGGGTCCTCTGAGCCGTCCTGCCCCCAAGCCACAGGCAGATGACCCTCCTCCTGAAAGGGCCTGGACCTCTAAATTCTTCCTTTGCCTTCTTGCTTGATTGATTTTGCTCTAAAACAGTAACAATCACAGCTATTCAGTGTTCTCTATGGGTGAGGTTGCTTTGAGTACATCAGGGAGCTCATCTCACCTAATCCTTGCTAGAGATCGATGCTGTAATTATCCCCACTTTACAGATGAGAAAACATTGGCTAAGAGAATGTAAGCAACTTACCAGGGGTCATAGAGCTAGCAAATGGTGGAGAACCAATTTAATGGCAGGTCTATTTGGCTTTTGTTTCTGATTTCTTAACTACTAAAAGAAATCAGTTTTTTATTTAGCTTCAAATCCCTACCAGAAAAAGGTCAAATAAACTATACCAAAATGGAAAAGGGGGTGAGTGGGAAGGTATTCATCTCTCACAGCATTTCAGGGTGGAAAAACTCCTAACAGGTTGATCTTGAATCAGATTTAGCTGCTATACAGAACTGAAACCTTTGAAACAAATGAAAGGCATAGCCTTAGTATCTAACAATGAGATTTATGTGTTTAATTCCCAGTGGAGTGCTTAGAAAGTTAAATTGTAATCCAAGCATAAGGTTTTATAGAAACAATACCTCCTCAAATGAGGACAAAAGATTAATCAGTGAGGTTTGGGGGAAAAATATTTAATTCTGTTCCATAGAGCAGAATAATTATTCAGGGATCACTGTATCTCTTTCTTTAGGAGCATAAATTACAAAGATTAGGTAATGAACCATTTTAATTGTGGTGTGCATATGCAATAAGGTTATTCAAAATATTACTGTCAGAATATTAGAATGTGTGTATGTGTAGATTTGAAATTAATAAAATATTAGCTGAGCCTTGCTGAAAGAACTTCATCTTCAGATGTACTTTCTCTTCATCTAAGCTCTAAGAACTGCCCTTTAAAAAAAGGTAGCTTTTTTATTTTATAAGTATTTTATAAGTATTACTGGACCCTTATAAAACAGGTTTAAAACCCAGTTTAAATGCCAGCAGTTACTAAATTCTAGCTACGTGTGATTCTAGCAAAACCTTTTGATGTCTCTACTCTTTAGTCTTCTCATTGGTAAAGTGAGAATACTAATATTCTAGCCTGCCAGGATGAAGTGAGGGAGTATATGTTAACAAACTTCCTAAAAAACATTAAGGCTAGATCTACCATATGATCCAGTAATCCTTTTCTAATAATCTACCACCAAAATTTAAAAACACTTATGTGTAAAGATATATGCACCCCTACGCTCACTGTACCATTATTCACAATAAGCCAAGAGACAGGAGAAGCCCAAGTGTCCCTGATGGGTAGAGATGTGGCACATACACAGAGTGGAATACTACTCAGCTGCAAATGGTGAGATTTTGCCATTTGCAGAAACATGGATGGATCTTGAGAGTGGGTATTATGCTAATCAGACAGGAAAGAAAAGAAAAGAACCATATGACTTCACTCAAATGTGAGATATAAGACAAAAAAGCAACAAATGAACAAACAAAACAAACTCATGGACAGAGACAACAGAACGTTGGTCACCAGAGAAGCGGGGGTGAGAAGGAGGAAGAGGGTAAAGGAGGTCAAACACATGGTGATGGAAGGAAACTAGAGCACAGTTATTGTATGATAAAGTTGTGCACCCGCAATGGATATAATATTACTAGCTAATGTTATTCTAATACACTTAACAGTTTTTTAAGACTCCAAAAAGGAAAAACAAATGCCAATAAATATATTCATATGGATCCCTTATTGGTATCTTAACATCAGTCTTTGTTACTCTTCCAAGTCAAAAAAGGTATGATTACTGATCAAAATGTATAATAATCTACAGGAAAAGAAAGAAAGAAAGAAAGAAAGAAAGAAAGAAAGAAAGAAAGAAAGAAAGAAAGAAAGAAAGAAAGAAAGAAAGAAAGAAAGAAAGAAAGAAAGAAAGAAAGAAAGGAAGGAAGGAAGGAAGGAAGGAAGGAAGGAAGGAAGGAAGGAAGGAAGGAAGGAAGGAAGGAAGGAAGGAAGGAAGGAAAGAAGGAAGGAAAGAAGGAAGGAAAGAAGGAAGGAAAGAAGGAAGGAAAGAAGGAAGGAAAGAAGGAAGGAAAGAAGGAAGGAAAGAAGGAAGGAAGAAAATCCTGGTCAACCAACCTGCCCAAAGACACCCAGAGCTCTATGCTGGTGTTTAACCCAGTGCCTCCTCTCCCTTAAATATGCTGTAGAAATAGTCTACACAAACATTCACTTCCCTTCCATGCCAATTGAGGGAGTGGTCTGAAGGCTGGAGAAATGGGAGAAGTTTGCATTAAGCTTCCTGAAAGTACTTTCAGACATAGTTCCCCTGGTCCTTTATGGAACTAAATTTAAATGGCTTATTCTCTTGTACAAACTGTTTCTATGATGAGAAACATTGTTTGAAACCTTTATCAGAGTTGGCTAGTTACACTAATAAAGCTTATGTGAAATGGTTAAATAACTTATTTGCATTTTCCAACGTTTTTACCCCCAAAACATATTTCCAACCTTTCTTATGAAATTGTACTCCCAGTCACTTTGCATATAAAAATTAAAACCGCTCACATTTTTTAAAAACATGTATTCTTAAACAGAATTTTTAAATGATGGGCCTGATTTTGAAGGCAAACTACAAAAATGAATTGTAGACTGGCCTGGCCCAGTAATGACCATATTGAAAGAAGTGTTTCCTCCCACAGCTGTTTGGACTCGTTGAATGCAGGCGTATTTTAAGTCCATCGTGTGTCGTTCGATTCCCACCTTCTAGTGGTCATCCGAAGGCCCTCCATGTGAATAAGAAAAAGAAGAAGTAAGCCCCCGTTTGCAGGGAGTTGAAGCCTGTGTTATGGGCACAGCCGGCAAGCAGATGACAGACTGGAACCAGTCCCACATCGTTCTGAGCCAGCTGTCCCTGCGTCAGCCATCATGGCACACCCCTACCACGCCGCCATGGTCACACAGCGATTGAATGTAACCCTGTCTAGAGCTGGCCTCTGCCTCCAGAACAAAACCAAACCTGATGCTCTCATGACTCATCTGCCAATCATTTAAGCACAGATTTTTTTCTGACTTCCTCATGGGCTTAACTCTTCAGGAATTCTTCTGTAGCAATGGAGTGTTTTCACTCCAGAATCCTCAAACTGCTTTAGTCCAGATAAGCTGAGGATTAACATTCATTCATGGGCCTGGAAAAATTACCTCTCACTTAGTGTCAGTTCAAGGAACCTAAATGAGACTCAGGGGAAACTTTCCAAAGATTTGCCAACTGGTTGTTTTGTTTTCTTGACATGAAATTTCTTGGCATATTTCATTTTAAATAGAAAGAATAGTAGGAAGGTAGAGGGTAAAAGGGTAAGAGTTCCACCTTTAATTGTATAAAAACAATCTTTTGAAGGCAATGGCAAAACTTAAGATAAATATTCTTCCTAAATTATACTTTTATTTTTTATTGATTCTTTTTAAGAGAGAGAAAGGAAAGGAGAGGGGGAGAGAGAGAGAGAAACATTGGTGTGAGAACCCTCTGCCCACTTCACACACACTTAACCCAGAATGGAACCCAAAATTGGGGTATGTGCCATGACCGGGAATCAGATTGTTAACCTTTCAGTGCACGGGACAACATTCAACCAACTGAGCCACACTGGCCACGACTCTAAATTATACTTTTGAAGTTTTCTCTTGTTCCTTTATAAAAGTTTACTATCCTATGACCTCTCATCATTAAGGAAAATAAATTAATGTAGAGCAATCTACCAATTATTATAAAAGACTCTGACAACACTTCTAATAAATGGAATTAAATCATATAATATTAGACCAAAACATTTTGAAATCATGATAAACATCAGCAACTCAGGATAAGCCCTCAGGGAAATAACTAGGATTTCTTAGAATTTCTCTGTCTTTTGGTTAAACGAACATTTTTAAATCATCATTTTAACTTAGCCCAAACTCCAAACAAATGTTAACAACTTTAGGCAACAGTGGGTTATATGTGATGACTCATAAGGAAGGAAGAAAAAGAGAAAGAAAGAGTGAGACTTCCCCAGGTGTCCTTAAAAGCAGGTCTTTTCTTTATGGGTTCCTACTGATATTTCCATGACAACATCGGATTGTTTTGCCACAAACAGTGGCTCTGAGGGACAGGTAAGGGAAAGGAGTCCAGCTGACCTTCAGTGTGTCGCGATTCACATCGGGCAGGAGGAGGACCAGAAGGTTCAAAGCCTGTAGTTGCTGCTTCTTGGTTGGAAGATCTGCAGAGAGATTATTAAATAAATGGGAGTCCCTTTTTTTTGCTAAACATCATCTGTATTTTCTTTTCTCATGTTGTATGAAAAAGGTTATTTAGCATAAACATCACTGTGAAATGTAAGACCACAACTGAAGCCACCCTGGGGAGAGTGTGTGGGAGATCAGAGGACCGCCCCCTTCCCCTATTCCTTCCAGAGACGTTCACTCCAACTGCCATCATTGGACAATCAGCCCCACACATTAGTGCTTTGAAACCAATTTCAACGTCTGCATGGAATTGTGTCCTCATAAAAAGACATATGGAGGCCGAAACCGGTTTGGCTCAGTGGATAGAGCATCGGCCTGCGGACTGAAGGGTTCCGGGTTCGATTCTGGTCAAGGGCATGTACCTTGGTTGCGGGCACATCCCCAGTAGGGGGAGTGCAAGAGGCAGCTGATCGATGATTCTCTCTCATCGATGTTTCTAACTCTCTATCCCTCTCTCTTCCTCTCTGTGAAAAATCAATAAAATATTTTTTTTTTTTAAAGACATATGGAGGACAGGACCGTGCATGCATGGTGTGAGGGTGAATCTGCAACAGTTAAGTCTGTTTCTTTTGATGATGAGTGAACAGATTATGTGGTAAGAATCCATCAATTCCAACAGTAACATGTAACACAGAGCCTGAGCTCAATAGGTGTTCAATAAACATTTGTGGGGTGAAGTGGAAAACCAACCAGCAGTGGAAGAGTCTAAGAGGTACATGATGATCATCATTGATCGTTATCACATTTGGTAGCCCATGTAACATTGAAGTGACAATCATGGGTATTTGGAGTCATTCCTGGCATTTGTTTGTCAGGGATAAATGTGGTCCTTTAATCCACATCCAAGGAATGTGTGTAAAAGAGCACAACTGAACCATTGAAAGTATTTTAAGCAAAAGATGATTTCCATCACTTCTGCCCTAGAAATTCTTAAGAAATGTTATGTATGCTATGACCCACTGGAATCATTTCAATATTATTACATGCTTGAAGAATAGCTTGGAATACAACAGAATATTATTTAGTCATTAAAAAGAATGAGATCTTGCCATTTATGACAACGTAGATGGACTATGAGGGAAATATTCTAAGAGAAATAAGTAGACAGAAAAACAAATAATATGATTTTAGCTTATATGTAAACTCTATTTAAAATAAAAAGCCAAGCTCATAGGTACAGAAAACAGATTGGTGATGTTTTGATTGGGTGGGAGCAAATGAGTGAAGGGGATCCAAAAGTACAAACTTCCAGTTATAATAGAAATAAGTCAGGGGATGTAACATACAGCACATGTCATAGTGACTACACTTAATAATACTGTATTCCATATGTGGCATATGTGAAAGATACTAAGAGAATAGATCTAAAATTTCTCATCACAAGAAAAAAAATCTGTAACTATGCATGGTGACATATATTAATTAAACTTATTGTGGTGATCATTTCACAATCATACCCTGTATACCTGAAACTAATATGTTATATATAAATTATGCCTCAAATATAATAATAAAAAAAAAGCTTGGAATAGTTCTGGTTGACATTGTAGCTCACCATAATTGTTAATTATGGTTCCCTTTCTACCCTCAAATGTGAACACAGCCGAAACCGGTTTGGCTCAGTGGATAGAGCATCAGCCTGCTGACTGAAGGGTCCCAGGCTCAATTCCGGTCAAGGGCATGTACCTTGGTTGCGGGCACATCCCCAGTAGGGAGTGTGCAGGAGGCAGCTGATCAATATTTCTCTCTCGTCGATGTTTCTAACTCTCTATCCCTCTCTCTTTCTCTCTGTAAAAAAATCAATAAAATATATATTTAAAAATGTGAACACATTTGGAAGTGAAACAGCCGTTCACCAGGACGTTGCATTTTCCCTTTATTGTTAGCCTCTCGGAATTCAGGGATAATGATCCCAGCATGTAGATCTCATAATAAGATCTCTGTGCTCACTAGAAAGACATGGAGAACTATCTGAGACGTCAATTTGGAGCTTGCCCAAACCTGCAAACTGGCAAGACAGACGTAAGGAGCCCGCTGCCCTCTACAAATGCGGCCGTCACACGACTTGTTCCTCATGTTTGCCTGGCAATTTCAAACACTTGACTTCTCAGAAAATAATCGCAGACTCTGCCAGATCCCCTCGCGCTCTTGTGCTATAACTGTTAATCCACAGCTTCTCCAATAAGTGTTGTTTTTAACACTTGGCAAGAAAAAATGTATCAGAGATCTTGCGTGACTCATTCTATTCTAAGAGAAAAGCGATGTTTCCAGGTTTGAACATGAAAATATATTGTATTGCTTAAAGGGCATGCAATCCGTCTGTTACCCAAAGAGAACATTCTGTTTTCTGTTTGCCCAGATATGTGTAGTTAGAGAGGAAAACGACCGCGTGGCATTGGAGCGCCCGCTGACACCAGTGAGTCACCAGGTCTACCCAAACATATCTGGTCCCGCTTGTCACGAAAGCGATGAACAGGGTGGCAGCACCCAAGACTGCCCCCCCTCCCCCAACCCACCCCCGAGGGGGCCAGCACTTACTCTGCACGGCCTGGAAGGCTTTGAGGTACTCGCCACTGAGCAGCGGCTGGGGCAGCTCGCGGATGAACAGCTTCAGCAGGCTGGCTGCATCGTGCTGCTTGACACTTTCCCAGTTAAAAGTCCCTTCGTAAAACTTTGCTTCCAGTTCTTGGCAAAGACTCTGAAAGGCAGGAGGAAAGAAAGGAAAAAAACAAAACAAAAAACTACCAGTAAGTGCGTTCCTCTTTTCCTGCAGAGTGTGTGATGCATTTCCCACTTTACAAGCGATTCTGCTCCTTGGAAAAGACTTGTGAAAAGTACCCACGTCCAACACTTGTCCGTCACACAGAAAGCACCCCGCCCCTCCCTGCAGGATGCTTTTCCAAAAGAAAGTCATAGCCAAGCCAAGAGGTTCAGAAACTCAACACGTTTTCCTGGAAACGCTTCAGACCTCCGGCAGTAAAGGTTTAATGAAAAGATTCGTTAAAATGGTCTTGACACTGGGGGGCTTTATTTAGATACTATAATTCTTCATTAAATTAACAACAACAAAATCATTGTTTAAAAATACAGTCTGTATTTCAAATGATTTAGAAGTACATTCCATAACAAAATGGCAATCCATCTCTGAGCCTAGAGCTGAAGGCTGCCCTGATCAGTCACCTCAGGGAAATAGAAAGCCAAGTTCTGCGGCTAATGAGGCATGGAAACACATCAATACACCTGCCCTCGAGGCAGGGGCCTTACGTGGCACAGCCACCCACTGCCAGCTACAGAAAACGGTCTGATCTGTGTGGAACGAGCACTGCCTCGTTCATTTACCTCAAGGACCCTACAAATGTTGCTGAAGTATTGGTAATAAATCAACTTAGTTTCACAATTACTATTTTCCACATGCCTTTCCACTGCGGCGTACATCCTATTATGTTAGAAATCTCTCCAAGTCCCTGCCACTTTCTCCTATTATTTGAAATGGTTCTCCCAAATTAACGGTCTTTGTTCTTCACACAAGGTGAATTTATTACACTTGCTTTTCCCAATTCCACTCTCGTCTCTACCCTAATTATTTCTGTAATTGGTGAAATTACATAAAGGTAAACCTAGAAATGGGGGGTGGAGGAAAGAGAGGTGAGGGAAGAGAGAGGATGAAAGAAGGGAGGAAGAAGGAGGAGGGAGGGGGAGAGGGAAAGAGAGAAGAATAGAAGAAATGTTGTGGGGCAGGGAAAAAAGATAATCAATAATTTTGCATATTATCTTTATTTATAATGGACCAGCTGCTGCCTAGTTTGTAGGTGACAACAGGCTGGGTTGCAGGGTAGAGCCCGCTGAATCCACTTAATTGACCTTCTTAGGAACGACATTTATTTGGATGCATTCTCTGCCAGCAATCCAGTCAAAATATCAAATACACATCCCATTGGGTGCTACAGTGAACGTGTTCATGACTTGTGAGCTGGCCATCTCATGCTGCTCATGAATGCTGTGGACAGTGAGCTAAGAAGCAGTACTCTTGCTAATACAGGTCCTAGAAAGTCCCAGTACCTGCTTTTGAGTCTTTCTCTGTCTGAGATCGTGCTTCTCCACAGAACAGATCTCAGAGTCTCACACAGCACAGCCTGGTGGTGAAATTGCCGTAGGTGTTCACAAATGAACTGAGACAATGGCAACTTATCACACTCACAAGGGTCCCAGGACAGTCCCGGGACCTCTGTGCACCAGACGCCGGACCCCAGGGACACAGACTGAATGAAATTTGTGAGCAGGGAATATCAGGTGACTGGAATCCGATCAAACTGAGATCCCAATGCAGTAAGAGCCAAGTAGGCTGAAACTGACCTCCTAAGTTGAGGCGGTTTATCAAAGTGAGAGGTGATGGGAATGCGGAAGGTATGAATCTCAAACCCACTCCTGGCAGCACCACTGCCAGTGACAGGGGAAGAGGGTGTGTACCCGCCGGGGTTCCTTCTTTCTGCTCCAGCTCTAACGGTTCCCTCTGGGTGGGTCTTAAGGAAAGGAGCAGAGAAAATCTCTTCCCTCTACCCCACGTTCTTTTGGATTTGCAAAGTTAGGAAGACAATACATTGGATGTGGGCAGTTTAGAGCTACAGCTGAGTTTGGAGGAGGCAAAGGAGGTTGTTAATGACTGCTAACCAAAACTTTTCTAGATGCATTTCCCAGACGGAGCTACAATGAGGCCCCGTACAGTGCAAATCCCCTGAGAGACGTATGAATCATGCATGGCCCGTGGGGTAGTTACACCTTGGCCATGCACTCATTGGATGCCTTAATCCTCAGATCAGGAGCTGGGTAACAGAGACAAAGGGGAGGATATATGGCATCCTAGGAGAGAGGGAAGGAAATATCTTGAGAAAAAAAGCAAAGGATGGATCAAGAGAGGCTCCAACTGGGACCTCTGGAATAACCTTTTTCACAAGCCAGACTCTGGCTACCCAGAGTCCAGGGATTCAGGGAACTGTGAAAGTCAGGAAAGCGATGAGTCAGAGTTTCATTTCGGCATCTCACTGAGACTCATCATGTCAAGTCTCCTCTTCTGCTCACCTGGAGTTTGTCATCCTGCCTTCTTCAAAAACAAACAAATAAACAAACAAATTCCACTGCTCTGGACATGCTGACTAAATCTGTCACCAGCCCCCTATTAACATTTTGACTCATGATGTTCCCTTTTCAGAAGAAGGATGAAACTACTCATCATTTGCCTGTTGACTTTTGTTCTTATGTTATGTTTGCACAGTAGAGAGATTATTTGCCGCTTTGTTGATCGCGGTATTATTATTACATGTAACATGGTGATTTTGAAAAGAAGGAAAAAAAGAATCAAAACTTACACAGAAGTCAGAGGAGACTACAGGAGAACTAAATATAAACTGGATGTCAAGAGGTTTTATTGCTATATTGAATCTACTTTGCTAACAACAGGGAGAAGGGTTGGAGGGCGAGTTAACTTTTAAACTGTAAAAGTATAATGAAACAATAAAGTCTGACATTGAGAGAACCGAGAGATTACCTTGATTCGAATGGCAGCTCCAGGAATTCTTAAGAGGCCTTCGGTTTCCAAACCTCCCTCTTCAATTCGGGAAATCAGCTGTGTGTAAACAGAAGGACATTCTGACTTTGGTATTCAGAACAGGTACAACTCCAGATTTAACATGTTTCACATACAAATAAATGAAACTGATTACAAGGACACGGAAACAGGATTCTGTGAAGTTCTGAATGAAACTGCACTACCACTACGCTTTAACCAGTGAGTCCCAAAACTTGCATTATAATTTAGAATTTAGAAAAAGTTGGGTCTCATACTCCTTTGTAACAGAAGTATATCATTTCACACAACAGCTGTGGGACTCCAAACAAACAGAAACTGAAATTTTTCATTGTTTACAGGCAACTAAAACCATCCATTTCTTCTGCTTTTCCCGAAACATACTTTTTGCAATCAAATAAATCTTATGAAATTCTAGTATTTGCGCCTTTACATCTCGTTTTTAGCTTGTTCCAAGAAAGAATTATTTATGGTATGAAGGCGAAAAAACAAACTGTTTGCAAATATTCAATTTTAAGCCTATAAGCTTTTCGTGGGTAAATAAAAATTAGTAAAAAAGAAAAAAGAGAGAAAGAAGAAAATAGGGCTTCTAAATCACACTTCATACTCTATTATTAATGAATGTAGATCTCTCTACCTCTAGAACCCCATTAAAAAAATAAAGGTTTTTTTTTTTTAATGTCTCTGTTTGCCTTCTTGCCCACTACAAGAAGGCAAACAGAGACATTGCAATGATATACGTTGGAAGGTATAAAAGGTAGGCAGGCAGAGGGATCGTCCAATTGGAATATGCATTCCCTGGGCAGTACATGGAGGCTTTATAGGGGGACACTGCTATTTTAAAGAAACCAATTTCCTTGTCCCTCAGTTTCAATATAAGGCATTTACTAGCCACGAATAGGTTTTCCTTGCTACCACTCACGCTCCCTGCACAATAGCTTCCCCTCCTTTATAAAAAGCAGGCAGACTCTTCAGTCATCCCTAATCCTGCTGCAGCACTCTCTGCAGACCCTAAAGCAAAAGATCTCCCAGCGTGCCAAAGGAATGTAGAATTGTCATTTTTTTCCCCTCGTGGAAACCTCCTTGAATGATTAACCACGGCTCTAGAAACTACGTACAACTCACTGTCTCCCCCTGGGTGGTAAAAGTGTCTTAGGAGCAAAGCATGGCATCTTTTGACCTTTGTCTAGATGTTGTAAAATGAGATATCCTCCCTAGCGTGTGGACACTGGACAGGATGGCATTTTTCTTTAATGACCTTATCTCTTCTATCCCAGGATTACGGCCGAAGAATGAACTGATCTTGAGGGAGTTAGGTAAGAATAAAACAAAAAGTAGCCTCAACATTCTCCAAAAGATTTATTATAGTTAAAGAGAGAAGCATCTTTAGGCAATCAGTCAATGCAGTACATGATTTTTTTTTGAAATTCAACTGCAATATTTTCCAAGCTGTGCTTTTCCAATTACACTGGATAAAAACCCACATCAAAATAATTAACATAACTATTTTACATTAGGCAGGCATTATTCAATAAAGTGTTTAAAACCAAATTTACCAAATAAGATCATGTGATAGTTATTCAACGTACAAGCAATATGTGCTTTATTTACTCTTATACAATGTTTAAAATGTTCTAGTAACAAAAGATGAAATTATATGCTAGCAGCTATAACAAATTAGTTTTTACCAACATAGGCCTTTTGCTTTCATTAAATACAAAGGAAAAAATTGATCGTGATTTCTAAATAACTGACTGAGAGTAATCTTTGAATTTTTATATGTTAGTCTTTTTTTATTATTATCTAAAACTGAATACTAGCACTAGATTGGGGTATATGTACAGATTGAAAGAATGTTATGTTTTCTCATATTTTTCACTAAGAAAATAACATATTTTAGCTCCCATATTATATTGCATTATTAAAACATACTAATAATTTACAGCTTTCCTTTCATTTCCAACTTAATACAGACATGAAAAATAACTATATTGATCTAAATATTTTCATCATGCTGTTTTTAGTAATTTATCTTTCAGGATTTAGTCTGTAATTTACCAGCAATTTTAATGGCATTTCCCAAAATACATTCTATATACTTAAATAAATTAAAAAATCAATTGACAAAGAGTATGTTTGATTTGGCTGATTGGTTTGACAGTAAGAAAAGAATTTGCTCATTAGGTATAATTTTTCAATAGAAAAAAATTAAGAATATTTTCAAATCTTTCTGAAAATATGGTTTAAACAATGTGCCTCTGAGGAAAAACAAGAAATAAAGCTCACAGATAAGTCTTACTAAAGCCCTTTTTGAGAATATTTCTCAATAGTTGAGAAAATATAATCCTCTAAAGACTACTAACAAATCTCTTTTGCAAATCAGTGGTTTCTAACTCTTTCTTTTCCACAAAATTGAGGTAATACCTAATTATTCAGTTTTTAGCTGATAAATAAAAAAACTATTTTTATGAGAAAACACTGTGATTTTTTTGTTTATAATTCAGAGAGGATGCAAACAGATAAGTGTTTATTTAAGAATAAGCTCTTTATATGTCCCCCTTTTTTTAATGAATCAAAGTACTTTAGGGCTATTATCCAATAGCCCTAAATATTATTCAAACTAAGGGGCAGCCAGGGTCTCCAGAAGAAACTACAAATGTAAATTAGCTAAATACATGAGAAAACAATTTCAAGAAAAAATGACAAGGGATTGGATGCAATGATTCTAGTCAGGAGGGTCACTAAACTTTCGTGGAGACCAAACCTTACCCTTCCCCAGTATGGGGTGAATTTGGTGTGTTAACTAAGCTACTATGTCCAGTTATTTGGTCAAGTATGTAGACTCTGAATAAAGAAAATTACTCTCAGCCGAACCCAGTTTGGCTCAGTGGATAGAGCATCGATCTGCAGACTGAAAGGTCCCAGGTTTGATTCCGGTCAGGGGCACGTACATTGGTTGAGTGCACATCCCCGGTAGGAGGCATGTAGGAGACAGCTGGTCGATGTTTCTCTCTCATCCATGTTTCTACTTCTCTATCCCTCTCCCTTCCTCTCTGTAAAAAATCAATAAAACATATATATTTTTTTTTAAAGAAAGAAAGTTACTTTCCATACTGTGGATGGGCCTCGTAAGAGCAAAGAATGAGGTTCTCAAAGCAAAAGCACTTCTGCGTCAAGACTGCAACCCAGAAACCCAGCCTTAGTTTTTAACTGGAAGACTTTAGACTCAAGACTGCAATATTAACTCTTGCCCAAGTTTCCAGTCTGCTGGCCTGCTCTACATACTTCAGACTTGCCAGCCCACACACTCTCATAAGCCAGTTCTTTAAAATAAGTCTCTTTCTCTGGAGAATACAATTGGTAGAAAGGATGGAGCTGAGATCCCTGCTTTGTACAATCATCTGTGGAGAGGAACTGACACCTTTTATTGACATTAAATGAATTTGAATAGAGGACTTACATTTGTGAACAGCTCTCTGTTATTCACAGGCAGTGTTGATAACTATTTAAAGGGATACAGGTTCTACTGGCAGTGACTAACAGAGGCTGTTGAGTAGGATTAACTGTACAGAGGAAAAACTTTGAGAAACAGGTTTGGATACAATGGAGAACATGAGGAATAAAGGAGTCTGAGGTTAGCAGGTAAGATGGGCAAAAGTAAACAACTGGCTTGGAATAGCAGAAGAATAAGTGCCAAGTAGGTTGAGCTTTAGTATTGATGATTTTATGGAGTCAATCAATTGTGAAAGTTTCCCTTGTCATTCTTGCCAGAAACTGTGATATGCCTGGTGTGTTGCTAAGGATCTAGAGTTTGGGTTGTCCATAACTGATCTGACCTGCCTTCTCCATTGTGCATTCCCTGGCTTTTACCATATGTAATCTGTGTTTCTGAACAATGATGGCTCAGAGATTAGACTGAAATTCTTGCATTGCCATAGATAATCCCCTTAGGGATAACTGAGAGTTGACTTGACAAGTGACTTGATAGTTTAGCAATCATTTTCTAATTCTACTTTATGGTTTCTTGGCCTAGTTTGGAAGTAGACACTGGTAAATTAAATTGGACATCCTCACTGTAAATAAGAAAGCCTGGAATGAAATATTCATGAAGATTCAGTTCCCTAGAAATTTATAAGCAGTTTCCATTTCTTTGCATTATAGAATCGAAATCTCAATTATACAAAGCCAGCTAATATAAGACGGGAAATTGATGCCAGGTAATCACAGTTATAATAGTAACACAAAATGCATCACTATGAAATAAAAATTATGAGCCCTTGAAACAAATTTGCTTCCTGAATAGAAAATCAAAGTACAACATAAAAGAGCAGATCAATTGGAAAACTATATTATAATAGTATGAATGCAAAAATAAAAATGAAAACACTATTAGTTCAAGTATGTTTTCTCGATGCTGACTCATTTAGGCCTACTTACTTTTTGAAATATCAAGGGTATTCGAGTTCCTGGGACTTTCCTCTGATCTTGTTCTAACAATACTGTCAATGGAACACAAAAAAGGCCAGAATCTGCAATGAAAAATAAAATTTCTTCACTTCCATCAGTCCATAAATGGTTAATGCAAAATGTTAAGGCATAAGACTTCTAATATTGTCATTCAATCAGACAACTATTTATTGAATACCTACCAAGTGAATACCACTGCGTAGTCTTTAAGCATATACCTCCCCAAAGTAAAATCCTGGCCTTGCCTTATAGAGTAATATAGCAAGGAAAGACAACTAGACAAATGATCGCAAATAATCTCCCGAAATAACTACAAAAGTATAAACCACTGCATAAGAGAAATGAGAGTCCTGTGGGAATACATAAATATGTAAAAATTTACTAAATGTAGTCAAATTGAAAGTTTTGGCTTAAAGCAAATGTCACTCATCTCTTCCATACTTCACTGGCATATGACATTCTACAATACAACAGATTATCAACACTCACCTTTGAGAGATCAGCGAACATTGTGATCTTGTTTTACAAACATTTTTCTTTAGAAAGTATAGTAGATGCTTAGTATTCTTGAATTTAAATTCATAGTTTACATATCTGGAAACAATTCCAGAAAGAATAACAGGTAATAATTTCTAATTTTTCTAAATTAAAATCATATGCCTTAAGTCTGATATGAGCATAGCTTGTACCCAGTACCTCCCACCTCACCCCCAACACTAGTGAACGGCTAGCGAAGGAGGGTCACACACATCATCAAGGGAGGTATAAATCACTGTGTACATGAAAGGGGAATTATCTTTGAGATGTGAGCAGACACTGAAAACTGTGACACTCAATAGAGATGCCATTCACAAGAATGGCAGTAATCCACTAAACAACTTTCAGTTTAAAAATTAAGAAAAGATGTAATCTTCAAGAATGTTCAGTCTAGCATATACGATAAATAGCTTTGATTAGATGTAAGAACACTTAAAAGGATGGAAAGAAAAATCTGTTCATAGTGATACTCTTAATAAAAATGACAGAATTTCTCTTAACACTGGCTTCATACCAGTTAACCTGTTAACTGGGGAGTTCCCTTTTTAATTATGCAAAGTACAACGGGCGCATACTCTTTCACTAGGACGTGTCAGTACGTCACGCCCAGTGGACGTATATATTATTATTTTTTTAATTTATACTTAATTAAAATAAATGAAATATATATTTTTTCATTTATTTATATATAAAGCACAAAGGAAAATACAAAATTACAAATAGAAAAGAATACCAACAAAAAAATGAAAACATTGAATTAAAAAATTATAAATTTTACAAACAATTATAAAGATTAAAAATATATATTTTTTTTATTTCTATACACAAAAAAATATTAAAAAGTTAACAATTACAGAACAATAAACAAAAGCACACAAATAAAATAGAAATATTGAGTTTAAAAAATTGAAATATAGATGTAAAAATTCAAAATTCAACTTCCGTGTGATATATTTTAAAACAATTGTTGATACATAGTGCTGCTACCTTACAATCTGGACACCAGTATGTAGATTCTTTCCTAACACCTTTTTTGTAGCAAACTCGGCATTTCCTGGATTTAGTTTTTCCTATATCGCTTTTCATTTGTTCTGGAAAATGCCTTTCAACTAAGCGTGATGGTTTAGATGTAGAGCTGCTTGTTGATGTGTTTGGGTGGGTTTTCACTATGTTGTTATCTACCAATTTCTCTACACACTCTATCAAAAAGTATAATCGATCCAAATGATCTTTATCTTTTTTGTATATAATATATGCATTGAAGCAGCACATATCAATTAATCATAGAAAAAAATTTTTATAAAATTTTTTTACCCTATTACCGGCAGCCGTGTAGGCCACCATAACTCCATCTCCCAAATCTACGCTGCCCATATTCTTGTTATAATCCAGGACAACATTTGGTTTTTCTTGCCTTCTTCCTCTCTTTTCTTTCTTTTTTTTTTTTTTTTTAATTTTATTGATTTTGTACAGAGAGGAAGGAAGAGAGATAGAGAGTTAGAAACATCGATGAGAGAGAGTCATCGATCAGCTGCCTCTTGCACACTCCCTTCTGGGGATGTGCCCGCAACCAAGGTACATGCCCTTGACCGGAATCAAACCCGGGACCTTTCAGTCCCCAAGCCGACGCTCTATCCATTGAGCCAAACCGGTCCCGGCCTTCCTCTCTTTTCAATCATTGTCTTTTTGTCATTATGAATAGAACTGAGCATCAATACATCTTTTTTATCCTTCCATTTTAAAACCATAAGTTTGTCTTTGATTCTTAGTATATGTTCATTTTTCTGTATTTTTTTTGTTTTTATTTCACTGGGGATTCCGACTCTGTTTATCCTCATTGTTCCAACAATGTCTGTATTGCTTTGACACAAGAGTTCAGCCAAATGAATTGACCTATAGAAATTATCTAAGTAAATCCTATACCCTTTATTCAGTAATCATGTGTTAACTCCAAAACAATTCTTGTTGATTGTTTTTCTTGTGGGTAGTTCGAACCATAATTTGTGTCCTTGCCTATGTATAAAATTATATTTTGTACGCATCCAGATTGGCTTTCACTCAAAATAAACAACTTCATTCCAAATCTAGCTCTTTTTGTAGATATATATTGTTTCCAAGATAAATTCCCTTTCCATAATAAAAGAGATTCATATATGCATATTTCTCGTTCACATACATAAAAACTTTTAAACTTTTCTAACAAATTATTGATGATTGGATCAATTTTATATGTTTTTCTATTATATAAAGGTTGGAGATATAAAGAATATAAGTAAATAATATGTAATATGAAAATAGGTAGGTAAGTGTAAGTACTTACCCGTCACTGCTCACCCAGAACCCGTCTACAACTCTCAATAGCGAAATTATACTGATTCCCTCCGTGTCTTAAATTCATGTCAAGACATGTATGGATGACTAATACCTTTGTTGTTTGGAAATATACGCAACATATATTTCAAGGACGTATTCATATGTCCTACCCATACCCGATATTGTTTACATTGGACATATTTATACGTCCCGCTCTGTTAACAGGTTAATAGTGGGATGCAATTCTAAAACATAAAAATCTCATCAAGCCACTTTTAAAGTCTTGTGCACAGCTATTTAAATTATATTTTCATTTTATATTTGGAGAAGGCTTTGTGATAAACTTCTAAAAAAAAAAAGCATGTGAGGTCTTCATTATCCTCAAAGGACGTGTGGAAAACCAGAAGCATCATTTAATTCAGAAATTCACCGTGCCAAGCTTTAAGCTAAAATACTCAAAGGAACTGAGCACAGAATGAGGTCTTCTGGGGCCCAGCATGGAAGAGGGCCTGAAGGGAAGGCACACTTCAGTCCTACAGAGAAATTGCCTCTAAAACTTAAATCAGGTGAACACTTGTCTTTGCTAATGTTACCATGGCAACTCAATAATCCTCATTCTTGGTTTCTCTTTAGGAGATACCGTTAAGGTAAAACAAGAAATCTGAATTTCCTAAACAGTGAAGCTTTGTCAACAGAGGATTTTCTGGATTTCCAAACCAATAAAGTCTTGGAAAAACAAATATTGAGAAGCTGTATATTCTCTAGTATATTATTTAGAATACTGTAAATTTATAAAATGGGTAAAGCTGCATAAAAAAGAAAAATTACACACATCCATGATGAATACAATTTAGTGGTATTATGCACCACATAGCATATTTTTCTTAAGAGAGAACAGAATGAATTTGTAAAATAGTTAGAAGTAGAATGTTAATGAACAAAAGGACTGCTAACTACCCTATGTATTTTCCATCAAATAAATAAGCAAAAATAATTTATCAGAATCAACCATCTTAAAGTCATTTTTCAAGATTTAATTTGGAAATAAATAAGTATTATGTGACAAATGCATTATTTAGTTTTAAAGGAGAGAGCATGTGAATTAAGATTCCTTGATTCCTAATTTCCTTCTACAGTTAATTAATTTTTTGATTATGCCTTTATTTTCAACACTCTAGGAGACCGTGCATTTTTATCAAGGTACAAATTTTTGAAGGCAGTGTTTTAGAATCTACATTTTAGATACTTTGTAGAGGTGGTTTGTTTTATAGATATTTTGCCACTAAAAATACGATTTCAAAAGCTAAGCTCATCCTTGCTGCTTTAGAAGTAAATCCAACCGTTTCTCATTTCCAATTACCTCTTGTTTTGATCTTCACAGCTTTTTGTTGTTTCAGTTCAATACCCAGGACATCATAGAGGGCAGTCAGTTCAATCAGGGCTAAATGGCAAACCTTCTTCATGTCCTGGGGCGCCAGGTCACCAATCCTGGTGGTGCCTGTCTTGTCTTTTGGCAATCTGAAACTCTACAACAAACACAGTTACTTTAGTCAAGGTGTACAGTATCTACCCTTTTCTTTTTTTTAATATATTTTATTGATTTTTTACAGAGAGGAAGAGAGAGGGATAGTCAGAAACATCCATGAGAGAGAAACATCGACCAGCTGCTTCTTGACAACCCCCACTGGGGATGTGCCCACAACCAAGGTACATGCCCATGACCGGAATCGAACCCAGGACCCCTCAGTCCACAACCCGACGCTCTATCCACTGAGCCAAACCAGTTTTGGCTACACTTTTCTTTGTGAAAATTAAAAATGCTAGTATAGAATAGTGACTATGAAAGTTATGGCAGGATTTCGCGAGTCAGAATAGAGAGCGAAACTCTCCCGATGATGCTCCCCAAGTCTGTGGGGAGTTTAGGAGTGAGTATCTGAAGTCTGACAAAGGATGGAACCAAACCATGGCTAAGAGAAGAAGACAGTAGACCCAAAGGAGAAAAAGAACTCTAGTTAACTGACCATCAAGAACCAGAGACGATTAGGAGTTCGGTACAAACCAGGAGGAAGAAGGAGGGGAAATGAAAGAGAAGGAGAAGGAAGAATAGTAACCACTAATGAGTGCTTACAATATGCCAGATACCCTTTACCTACATTTGATATGATATGATATATGATATGACACGATATGATATATGATATGACATAATATAATTGCCATTAAACCCAAATAAAGTAGGTACAGAGGAGCTGTACAGCATCGGGGAGGGAAGAGCTATAGTAATTATTTTTTTTTATAAATATGGCTATTTTTCATAAAAAAGAGTTAACTATGGTATTGTGCTATAAATTGAATAATTTTTTTAATTTCTCAATTTTAATTTCTAAGGTAAATATCCATAGGTATAACTACCATAAATGATAGTCCTCCTCCCATTTTTTAAAATCCTCACCTGAGGATATTTTTTCCATTGATTTTTAGAGAAATGGAATGGGAGGTGGAGAGACAGAGAGAAACATCAATGTGAGAGAGACACATCCATTGGTTGCCTCCTACATTGTGCCCTGATCAGGGTCAGGGATCAAACTTGCAACCAAGGTACATGCCCCTGACCAGAATCGAACCCACAACCTTTCAGTCCACTGAGCCAAACTAGCCAGGGTCCTCTCCCATTTTTCAAACTTCATTATTTATTAAAAGAACTATTCCTTTGTCTGCATATTCATGTTTTATAATTCAGGAACACAGGTCAGCGACAAACTTCCATGGAACTCAATCCAAAGAAATTCTTTACATTCCAAAATCACTTTGAAACAGCCTTGTTCATCTCAAAACCTTTCCTGGAACCATAGTTTCTGTAATAATCTTCATACCCCTTTGTTCTTGGTTCAGTCACAGGAAACGTAGAGAGCGGCAAGTCCCAGGGAGACAGCCAACCCTCCAGCAACATGAATTTGGAGATGCCTGGCCTAAGGCCACTCATCCTGGGATTCATCAATGTCTTCCTGACTTATAAATCAAAAGCTTTTTGAGGATCTCCATAATTTTTAAGAGCCTAAAGGGTTATGGGACCAAAACGAATGAGAGTCACTGATCTAGAACACATCCTAAAACCTACCACTTTTGGTAATGGAGGAGCTAACTCCTTTCAACCAAACTCAACTCCAAGAAAAAAAACTTCAAGTTCACTATAAGAGAAAGAAGCTGTTTCTTAACTTTTTATAGTACAGTTGTTTTTTCTATGAGAACATTCAATAAAATGGTAACAGACTTGATTGAATATGCATCGTAACTGAATTTCCAGCGTAAGGGTTAATGGCCTCCATGGTGCAGTGCACAGGGGTGAGAAAGTGGAGCCAGACTACAGGTAGCAAACCTTATCTCCATCACTTACAAGCTCTGTGACCTTTGGCAAACTCCATCATCTCTGTGTCTCAGCCACTTTATCCCTAAAATGGGACTGATAACAGAAACTACCTTGTAAAGTTGTGGTGGGGCTCAAATGACAAGTAGGAAGCTCTCAAAAAGTATTGACAACATTTTTTTCACAGAACTTTTAACTACATTAATTTCAAGATTTCATTGGTTTCCCTTTCTCCTGAATATTACTGCAAGGTAAGAAAAAATAATAAGGATACTACTAATATTTGATAATTGACTTCTCATTCTATCCTGCAAAAGTCCCCATATGATAAGAATTATTGCAGCATATTCTAATGAGGGAAACTGAGGCTCAGTAAAGAGACTTAAATAGCAGCCAGTGATGTAATAAGGATGTAGCTCAGATCTTCTAAATCTTAAGTTCAGTAATCATTCTATTCTGCTCCAGTTTTCCATCCACCGCAGCCTGCAGGAAGATGTCTAGGTTGATGGCACTCATTTAGGACTGTGAGGCCCTCAAGAAGAGGAGCCATGTCTTCACCAGCCTGTCCTCCTCCTGCACCACGGCCCGGCACACTGCAGGTGTTCCGTCCGTCTATTCAGTGAAGGAAGATACACACCCTACAGGCAGAACACACAGAATCCAACTCAATGAGGGGCAGGGCCACCTCATTTCCTGTGAGGTGTACTGAGCTTCACCTTTAAAATCACACAAGACTCATCACCATTTCCTCATGCTTGGTCCCAGAGTTCTGCTAATTGCTTTGTTTCTTGAGGACTGAACCCCATCCTACTTCACAAGCCTTTATTTTTTTTTTTTTTTGTAAGTCCTAAATGTTTCATTAAAATCAGTTGCTTTTGGTCTAATAAGCCAAACACATATGATATAATTATTCAAAGCATTACCCGAGGTACATGTTTAAAGAAACCTGAAGTATTATCAGTCCAAACATTTGATTTACCCTCGCAATACAAGTCATGAGCTTTATTTATTTACTTATTTGTTTAACATTGTGCTTAATGAAAGGACTTAGTTTCTTTATCCCAATGTTTAATTCATGGCAGCTGCTTTAAATATTTATGAAGTTTCCTGTCGTTCCGTTTAGTTAATAGACTGGATGGCTCAGTTCCTTGGCTGAGACAAGGCAATGCAATTTCTGCAAAGGAAAGCTCTTTACGTTTTGAAAAATGTGATTAAAGAAAAGAGTGAAGTACAATTTTGTTTTTGAAAAACATAAGGTCTTTGGATCTCATGTGTTACCATAAATTAATCAGATAGCTCTTTGGTGCTGTACCCCTCTTTTGTAGGCCTTGTAACATGAGAGGTCCAATAGGTACTTCATTAGTTATGATGGAGTAGACTCTTTTACTCATCAAGTCACTCGAACTTCAACTTGGAAAGCAAGGGAATTCGTTCTCTCCTGGCCAATTTCCACAAGATAACTTTTTTATATCCTCTACTAGGAGATTCATTTCCTAAGATTTTTTTTTTTCATATGTAAAATGTCATTTTATTATAGTACTAGAGGCCCGGTGCATGAAATTTGTGCATGCATAGGGTCCCTAGGCCTGGCTGGCAATCAGAGCTGATCTGTGGAGCGACCTGTGAGGCAGTTGGGGGGAGAAGGGTGGCATTGCTGGTACCCACCTTGGCTGGCCTGGCGCCATCCATTCACCAACCCCATCCCCTACTGCCAGTAACCCCCTTTTGTTTTTAGTCTCCAAGAGTGATATTAAATTTCTATTTTATATGACAGACCCAGCAAACCAAAATCATTTTATATCACCTCCCAAGCTATCCTAAACAATTTGTCTATAGCACCAATAAAATAACACAAAGTGATCCTCCCGATATTTCCAATACCCTACTGGTATCATGCATAGTTATTACAGTATTATTGACTATATTCCCTATGTTGTACTTTACATCCCATGGCTATTCTATAACTACCACTTGGTACTTAGTCCCTTCACCTTTTTCTCCCAGTACCCAAACCACCCTCTCTTCTGACAAATATCAGTGTGTTCTCTGTATCTATGAGTCTGTTTCAATTTTGCTTGTTTTGTTCTTCAGATTCCACATATAAGTGAAATCATATGGTATTTTTTTCTCTGACTAACTTATTTTACTTAGCATAATACCCTCTAGGTTTATCCACTGTTGCAAATGGCAAGTATAATTGGAAAAATTGAACACACATATATATATATTAAAAAGGACACAAACTCACACTTACTGGTAAATTCAATGTATTAAATGGTGTCAGCATGGTCTTCCAGGAAAGACTGGCTTCAAAAGCTTAGTCACTGAAGCCAAGCCTTGGCACATCATGTAATCTCTTAACCTATTTCCTTGTATGAAAAATAGGAATTGGAATAGCAACCTCATAGAGATCATTTGATAAATAAATGAAATAATTACAGAGTGTACTTCCTGAGATATGGTGGGTACACAATTAGCAGTTAAAATTTTCAAACTAAAGCACATTGCAAGTTATAAAACCTGATCTCCCAGTTTAAAAGGAGACATTTGAATCCACTGTGACATCATAAAGAATTAACAAAGACAGTTTGATGCAGAAAGAAAAAGGAAGTGAATATAAAATGAGGTCAACAGAGAACAATGTATTACATTAAGCCCAATGCTTATTGACAGAAGCAGAGGAGCATGGATAGAAATGGAATCTGAAGCTTTCCCTGCTTACACACCTGCCTGAGTGGTGGATATAAGTATTCACTTCATCAAAAATGCTGAGGACTTGTGGAAAGCTTACATGTCCATGCCTTCTAGCAGACACGTGGCTAAATGACTGGTAGAGAACAGATGCATAAATACACACATAATCGATTGGAAATAATTATCAAAAACATGGCAACTAAGAATTTCAAGGATGATTTTATATATTTTAGCTAATGTAAGTTCAGTTAGGAAAGACTTTGAACAGTAAAGTCAAATGCTGGGCTCGACCCCAAAGCACTGGCTAAGGCTTTCATGGTAAGCATGGAGCAACAGAGCAGTAAAAATGGTAAAGTCATTTTAAGCTTGGGGCTCCACATGAATAAAATCAAGACGGTCTGGGAGCCCAAATCAGTTTATTAAATTGGAGACTAAAATGGGAGAGGAAGGTTTGTTTTACTTCTATCAAGTAAAGATTAATTTATCTTATTCCCTTACTTGAATCAACAACATGAAAGTAAACAATGTCTTCATCTTGTTTAATTAGACTCTATTCTCTGTCACTTTAAACCCTTCCCATCTGTTGAGATGAAGACTGTCACTTTTAAAGGGTGTTTCTGTTCAGACTAGTCTGGGAGTGTGGATCATCTCTTTAGGTATACTCCTTTCCTTTCCCCACTAGGCATACAAGTTCTTAAAGGCAAATTCTTAAAAATACATGATAAAACCTGGAAACAACCCAGATGTCCACCATTAGGACACTGGTTGAATAAATTATAACTGTAATGCATTATCTCAATGAGTACAATCCTATATAAAAGGCTAAGAGCTAATTGTCCCCACAGGTGGGAGTTCGACCCAGCAGGAGTAAGACGTGTGCTGACCACCAGGGCGTGGCACGGAACATGGTGGATATCGGCAATGGGTACTGATAGCGCGCAGCAGTGGAGGCGCTGGCAGCCCCGATGGGCCCCGATGAGAGTGGGACCATGCCAGATGCAAGCTGGAGCCCTGATTGCCCTGCAAGTTGCAATTTATGGGACAACCAGTGGGGCAATCAGCAAGTGGGTGGTGCCAGGCTAAGGCGGGTGCAAGTGGGGGCCCTGATGGCTCCACCAGTCACCCCACAGATCAGCCCTGATCGCCAGCCAAGCCTAGGAACCCTACCCATGCATGAATTTCATGCACCAGGCCTCTAGTACATCTATGAAAAGGAATGAGTAATATTGTTCTATACTACTGTGAAATAATCTCCAAAATATACCACTATTTAAAATCAAACAAACAAGCAAACAAAACAAACAAACAGAAAAAAACCTCAAGGTGGAGAAAAGTGTGTATAGTGAGGTATCATTTATCTAAGAAAGAAGGATAAACCATAAAATTATAATAAGAAATTTACCTGTGAGGAGAGGGAGAACAGAGTGATGGCTCAAGGACAGAAGTCAGACTTTTAATATACCTTGGTTTTACATTTGACTTTTGAACCATGCAAATATTTTACATGCTTATGAAAAAAAATCAATTTTTAAAAAATCTATGATTAAAAATAGAAAATAAAATGAAACAAATCAACCCAACCAGGTATGCAGTTGGTGGTTTAACCACATGGAGAATAACTATCCTAAGCAAGCTAAAACAGCAATTTTATGGTTGCATAACTTTTAGGATATACCCCCAAGGATACAAACAACTAAAGAAAAGACAAAAACAAATATAAACTCTTTTCTGGTAACCAAATTATTGCTGGTGGTGTTGGTATTGTTAGCTGAGAGTGCTGTGATTAATGGTGGATAAAATAAACAAGCAATTATGTGATACTCTAATCAGATTATCTGATGCATCCTAAGCACCACTGTTCTCAGCGTGGAATAAAGAAGCCATGGCTACACTATGCCCTCTGAAAAGACTGTAAGCAACAACCACCCAGAGTCAGGAGTACTCCAGGTGTCTCAATCAGTCATAAAAGTTTATTTCTACTAAACGGAAAGAACACTTTTTAAAACAGACAGTTTTAGGTCTGCAGCCCGGAAAAGATGGGAAATTTTTTCTAACATTATGTCATATGTCTAAATCCATGAGTTAAGATGCTATTTTTACAAGAAAATTAAAATAAAACAACATTAATTAGTCACTAGTGAAAGATAATAGGAAACAAACAAAACAAAAAAAAGAAAAAGAAAACTGGTAAAGGAAAGAAAGCAACCACTTTAAGAATGTCTTCCTTAAAAGATGTATTCCAATTAATGAATTTTAAAAAGAAGTTAGCACACCATCCTGGAATTATTAATAAGCTAATAGATCCAAGCATTGATCAGAAAGAGCTGCTATTTTACAAAAAGGGGAACACAACTAGACATTTTGTTTCTCTAGTCACACTTGAAATTGTTCTCACACTCAAAAAAATGAACCTGAATATGATAAATCTAGAGTCAATCAAGTAACAGGAAACAGAAAAACATGGGAATAAAATTAGTCAGAGGGGGGACTTCTCTATGAATAACTACATTTGTTTAAGAAATAAATTTCAAAGAAGAGAGAGGGAGGAGAAAAGAAAGAATAGGGGATAAGAGAGAAAGTAATGAAAGAAAAGAGAGAGGAAGAAAGTGAGGGATAGAGAGACAAAGGAGAGAGAAGGAAAGGGAGAGAGTTAAAAAGTCTTAATCGATATATCAACCAATTGCAATGCATAAACCTTATGCATTAAATCCTAATTCAAACAAACTATAAAAACATTATGAAATTTGTGATACAATTTGAAATCTGAACAGACTGAATATTTGAAATTCAGAATAGTTAGCATTTTTAGATACAATAATGGTGATATGAATATATTCTAAAAACTCCTCTTTAGCATTTAGAAATACATACTGAAATATTTATAGAAAACAAATATAATTCAGAAATTTGTTTCAAAATAATACAAAATAGGAAACTGATTATGGGTATGGATAGGTCAGGAGTAGTCATGTGTTAATAAATGTTAGGGTAGGTGATAAGTATGTAGGGGTTCATCACACTATTCTTTTCAATGTTTGCATGTGGGAAATTTTACAAAATAAATAAATAAATACTTAAAAAAACTAAGGCATTCAGTAGCATTGTGTACACTCAGTACCTACAGCTTGATTTTGAAATACAATCTATCAATATAAGGAACCAGTCCTCCTTGAAGAAATGGATTCTGTCAACTCTGAAGGGAGGAAACTACAGGGTGCGCCTGAGACATCTTGTACAAGAAAGAAAGTCATAAATGAATAATGAGGGCAGGTTACAATGACATAGGAACCAGCTCAAAGGGCACCTATTGGTCCAAGTTGGGTAAACTTGGACAGCAAAGAAATGTAGTGATTTATAAAACACCGAATGAAAACAGGAACCTTCAGCCCATAGTGATATTCAATAAAAAAAAAAATAATAATCTACTCTTATTAGATTGTTGCCAATCAATGTAGAATTGTCACAGAATTAGAAGATGAGTATTGCTCAAACACCAGATTTGTTATTGTCTCAGGCAAGGATGACAAATGTATGGTGAGTCCTCTGATGGATAGCTTATTACTGACAAATTGAATGTTCACACAGTTTCAAGGACCACAAATTAATATTAACTGCAATAGGCAAACTCATCTCCCATCCCCAATAAAGAAACCATCTCACATCATGCCTTTCTAATGATGCAATAGGAGGCATAAACATCACCTCAGCAGAAGTGTAGCTGAAAATGTTTAAATGGAATTTAGTCATAAAAAAATAGACAAAATCAGAAATCTCATTTGGACTCTTCAAAACTATTAAAACCAAAACCAGGTCACCTGACTTAGATTAAAATACACACACAATGGCATCAAATGCAGCATATAACCTTTGTTTGAATATAGATGGGGGTTGGGAAGGGAGAAACTATAAAGAAAAATGTAACATTAGGAAAATCCTATCTAATAAAGAGGAAATATGCTAATTGACCCTCATACCATCGCAAAGATGGCAGCACCCACAGCCACAAGATGGTGGCGCCCAGACCCCTCAGCCCGACTGGGGCAGCAGGCATGCAGCAAGGCTGGACCTGCCCCCAGATGGGCCCAGCAACTCCACGGGCCTGCCTCTGGAGTCCCACAGTCCCCTCAGCCATCCAGCTGCCCAAGGCCAGCCCGAGGCATAGGTAAGCCTTGGATGGCTGCTGCCTAGGCACCCAGGGCCACCCAAGGCTCAGGTAACCAGGGCCAGCCGAGCTTGCACTGCCAGCAGTGGCAGCATCAGAGGTGTGATGGGGCATTGCCTTCCCCTGATCATCAGGTCACCTCCCACCCCTGAGGGCTCCCAGACTGAGAGGGAGCAAGCTGAGTTGAGGGACCCCCCTCCTCCAGTGCATGACTTTTTATGCTCCGGGCCTCTACTTTTAATAGAACCATAAGTATATATAATTTGGTTTTATCCTTCAACTTCTTAAGTATTTTGAAATTGTGTTTTGTTAAGCTTTAAGAAGTTAGTGTTTATGTTACCAGATAAACACAACCAATACATAGGAAGATACAGACAGAGGGAAAGTCAAGGTTACAACTTGTGAACTGTTGAATGAATCTACAAGAAAGCTGTTTGGGTGTTTGCTATACCATTCTTCCAACTTTCCTCTGGGTTTGAAGTTTTCAAAATAAAAGGCTAATTAAAAGCAAAGTCTGTTTAGTGACATCTGAATAGTGTATTACGTACAAGTAACGGCACATCGCTGCCTTTGTTCCTCTGGGTCCTATCCTTGGAGCTCTCTTTCTGATTGACAGCTTGCTCTGCAAATGACACCTCCAGGTTGATATCTGTTACAGAGGCAGGTGCCTCCTCGGGCACCAGTGGCATCAGCTTCTTTTCACCAACAACTAGGCTAGATTCCGGGTCTGGGGGTAAAAACAAAAGACCCAAATCATATGCTTTATTTTTTTATTTATTCATTTATTTATTCACTTATATATTTATTTTTACTTCTAATACATTGATTATATAAAAACCTTTGAGAAAAATACTATTTACTACAGGCAATTATTAATGGCTAGTTTAATACTAAAAAGTATACTCAAGAATCCTACCAATGGTATATATGTTGGTGGCGGGAGGAGGGGGGGATAGGAGAAATGGAGTGGCCAGAAATCCACAGTTCAGTTGTGAATTCTTTCTTTGAAGTCCCAATTTGTAGCCAGAATTCACTTCCAAAACATTGCTGAACAATCTCAAATTCTGAATGACAAAGCCTCACAAAAATTTAATGGAATCCAGTCAAAAAATGGACAACAGACCTAAATAGATACTTTTTGAAAGAGGACATTCAGAAAGCCAGGAGACATATGAAAATATTCTCAAAGTCACTAATCATCCGAGCGATGCAAATCAAAATGACAATGCAGTACCATCTCACACCTGTCAGAATGGCTATCATCAATAAATCAACAAATAACAAGTGCTGGCGAGGATGTGGAGAAAAAGGAACCCTCGTGCACTGCTGGTGGAAATGCAGACTGGTGCGGCCAATGTGGAAAACAATATGGAGTTTCCTCAAAAAAACTAAAAAAATGGAGCTCCCATTTGACCCAGTGATCCCACTTCTAGGAATATATCCCAAGAAATTAGAAACATCAATCAAAAAGGATATATGCACCCCTAGGTTCATAGCAGCATAATTTACAATAGCTAAAATTTGGAAACAGCTTAAGTGTCCATCAGCAGATGAACGGATTAGAAAACTGTGGCAGATCTACACAATGGAAAACTAAGCTGATGTAAAAAGGAAGAGAATTCCTACCATTTGCAACAGCATGGATGGAGCTGGAGAACATTGTACTAAATGAAATAAGTCAGTCAGAGAAAGATAAATATCACATGATCTCACTCACTTGTGGAATATAATGAACAACATAAAGTGATAAAGAAAAACAGATTCAGAGACAGAGAAGCATCAAATCAGATCCTCAAACCTCAGAGGGAAGGCAGGGGAGGGTGGGGATAAGGGAGAGAGATCAACCAAAGAACTTGTATGCATTCATATAACATAACCAATGACACAGACACCAGGGGTGAGGGCATGAATGAGAGTGGGGTGGGGGTGGAGGCAATAGAGGAATAAGGACACATCAATAAAAAAATAAAATATTTTTTTAAAAAATATTTAAAAATTTAATGGACTTCATCATTGTTTTATTGAGGTTAGTTGTAATCTGTTTTAGAACTAGCAAGATGCTATTGAATTTCCCCACAGTAGAACAGATTCCTGGAATAAGACCATTTCCACGCCCTGCATTTTTCATTCTGGAATGTTACCTATCTATCATAGTAAAAATTTCAAAATAAGAAATATTGCCAAAAACTTATCGCTATGGGAGTTAGGCCTAGAGGCTCCTGGTACAGGAATCAATAGGTTTTTGCATCTGATTCTATGAAAGACTTAAAGGTCCTATGACTATAAACCTAGTCAAATAACTTCCAGACATTAACATCAACATTTCAGAGTATAATAAGCTTAACATTTTGCTGTTAATTCTACAGGAAAAAAAAATATTTTAAAGCCTCTTTGCTGAAAACACTAGGTTTAAACTTTCGAGAAAATATTTCTAAATTTTTATTATTTTGTAAGCTTTTGGTTTTAATACAACTCACATTTTAAAAACCCTAGGACCAATGATAGGATTGCTTTCATTTTCTCATTGCAGACCTTTCATTCATGGAGAGCAGAACTGAATTATAAAACAAACTTACACAGTACATTTACATATTATATACTAATATAACAAGGTAATAAAAATTAATGTTAAAATGTAATAAGTATGTCATATGTACATTTTATTAAAAGTATCCTACCTTTAGGAAAATATATTTATAGTCATTTAGTTTTTTTTTTAATTGGTTTTACTCAAAAGAAAATGAAGAATCAATGCACATCTACTCTGATTCACTCCCACTCAACAAGCTGGCTGGCTTCATGATCATGTGACCTGAGCTCTCACACAGGACTCCAGGCTCAGAAGGGCCTGCACTGGGATTGATGCTCTTGCTCTTGAAATTTGAACAAGAAGCCCTTCATTTTCAGTTCCACTGGGCCCTGCAAATAATATACCTGGTTCAGGTGGCCTCTCACAGCTAAGAAAGTGACTAAATATTTCCCTATGTCAATTCCAAAAATAAAAATAAATGTGAACCTCCATGATAATATTTATCTGCTGTCATCTATGCCACATTGGATGCTTTTCAACTGCCTGTGACAATTTTTTTTTTTAATTTGAATAACCGGATCTTCATTTAATTAATTTTGAACGTGAGTTAAATGTCAAAGCCCATTTTATTTTCTCACTGGTTTAGACTGCTTTCTGTTTTGGTGTGAATATATAGATTGGTTTCTTAGGAAACCAATTTGAGAGGGAAAAGATTAGCCATTTTCTTAAATTAGAAGCTGCCTTTCCAGAATGTGAATGTTTATGGGCAAGAATTTTAAAACTATCCCCTTTTCTTTTCAACACCCCCAGGTTAGAGTTACAGTAAATACCACCTCCCAACCATGAAATAGCCTGTACCTAATTCAAAATTGATTAGAAATTTTATAATTAAGTTATAATACAGTCAAAACATAAATTTCCTCTAAAACATGGCAAAAACATGCATACATAGAAACATAAAGGTTAAAATGGTAAATCAATTCAGGGAAGATAGTGGGAAAAACAGTTGCAGGGGTAATGTAAGGATTTCGCTACAAGAAATGAATACTTAATTGGTTGACAAAAGTACCTGACACACACATACACATGCATCTATCTATATGTAAATGTGAATATGCACACAAACATCAATTATCTAGTCTCAAAAAAGAAAAGTTAAGCCTGGCCAGCATGGCTCAGTGGTTGAGCATTGTCCTATGAACCAGGAGATTACAGTTCAATTCCAAGTCATGGCACATGCTGGGATTTTAAGCTCGATCCCCAGGGGCATGCTAGAGGTAGCCAATCAGTAATATTCTCTCTTTCTCTCTCTCTCTCTCTCTCTCTCTCTCTCTCTCTCTCTCTCTCTCTCTCTCTCTCTCTCTCTCTCTCCTCTCGCTCTCTCTCTCCTTCCTCTGAAATCAATAAAATATTTTTTAAATTAAGAGAATGCTGGGGTAAACCTCTGGCTCTTAAAGTCCCCAGGTGTAAATACTAAATTTCTTTAAACTATTCTCCTTTGGTTTTAAAGAGGTCAATTGCACAGAGTTATAAGCATTTTACAAAACTCCTTGAAGTTTTTTAATTGTCCAAAATATCCCAAGTGCCTTTATTTTTTAAAAAATAAATTTCCTTCCTCTGTGGAAAAAAAATTAAAATAAGAAAATCTACATATTAATATGAAAGTTTAAAAATTATTAGGGCATTATGAATATATCTAAATGCATATATTTAAACACTTGGTCTTTCATATACATAGAACTGTAGAATTTGATAAAACATTAAGGTTACTTAGCAGTAGATTAATTTGAAATGTGACAATCCTTGCAACATTATCACTTTATAACTTACTCATTTAGACTAAGTAGCTTTGATTGAACATGTTTTTATAAAATCCCAAGTGTAGGGAAAACATTTACAATAGACTGTGTCATACACGCCTTCAGATTTCAAGCAGAAAGAGCTCCACGTTCGAACTCTAGACTATGTTTTCCATGCATTTCATCTAGAATCTTTCAATGTTTGCATAACATAACATTGGCTAATGTACTGGCCAGCAAAAGAGCATGGCACTGCCCAGAACAGGTGCAGTAGTAAGTACTCAATGACTTGGATGGCATTATACCCGGGCTCTTGTCATTCTGATTGGAGGCTCTCTGCCCACTTCATAGCATTCCAGCAAAAGCAGATGTAAAGCAGGCAGCAAGTTTGCCACACTTCACCCGCCTGCTGCAAGCCAGGCTGGAAAGTGCACCTACAATAAATGTGTCTTCCAGGACTTCTGTGTACATAGCCTGCATCATCATCTCTGGCAAGGGAGGAAAACATCAAGAAAAGACAATTTTTTCCTCAGTGTTCATTTAGTGGTCATCAGTCACTGTTGCCCAAAACCTAAAGCATATTGATATTGGCACAAAAGTTCATCTGTCCCTCTTCCTGACCAAGGTCTCAGGCCAGCCAGCCCTGGGGATTCCAATTTGCTTGCCATTTCAATGTTTGCTGGTATGTAGACTTGGGGAAACATCTAGTAATTTCATTCTGACAACATATACATACACACAAAACTAAAGAAACCTCTACACAATAGTAAAAGCAAGTGCTTTTATAGATATAAATATACAGACATGTTTGTGTGCATGCAAACATTTACAAATATACAGATGCATGTGTATCAGTGTGTGTGCGTGTGCGTGTGCATGTGCGTGTGCGTGTGTGTGTGTTTGTGTGAAAGACAGGTGCAGAAGAGTTCTCAGAAAAGTATGGAAGAATAAAAAATATAGACTCTGGATGCTCCCAAGATTTCAAAATGCCTCATGTAATCTTGGACTAACTCCTGATTTTTACAGGACATTTGGGGACCTTTCCTAGTCTTCCACAGTCTACCTGATACTCCTGCCCAACTATTTCCAATCCAACTACTAATGGCATGGACATTTCAGGTCCTAGGTCTTAAGAACATAAATGAATTTTGTTAAGTTTTTAAATAATAATACATTAAAAATCAAATTTTTAAGCTTAAGACTATTATTTTAATTTCAAACATTTTCCTTTTTTTGTAAATAAATGAAATAGCTGTAAATTCTTTCTTTTTTTAAAATATATTTTGATTTTTAACAGAGAGGAAGGGAGGGGGATAGACAGAAACATCGATGAGAGAGAAACATCCACCAGCTGCCTCATGCACATTCCCTACTGGATATGTGCCTGCAACCAAGGTACATGCCTTGGCTGGAAGGGAACTTGGGACTGTTGAGTCTGCAGACCGACAATCTATCCACTGAGCCAAACTGGTCAGGGCTGTCAATTCTTTCTCGATAAGTACTAATAAAGTCAATATTTATATTGATCCATACCTTAAATTTCTAATCTACTTTTCAAATAACAGGTATAAAAGAGGAAAAGTATAAAGGAGAATTATAATCAATTGTCCAAAATATCTTAAATATTTTAAAAATAATTTCTAAACTTTCTGAAAAGCCATCCATTCATAAATTAAGAACTTATGATTTGAAAACAAGACTTCAAATTCTCTGCTCCACTTGTTAGCTATATAGCTTTGGGAAAGTGACTTTACCAGTTCTCTCATCTATAAAATGGGTTAAAAACAATATCTGCTGCATAGAGTTCTTGAGTGTATTAAATTAGGTAAACATCTCCATACGTACCTGGCACATGGTAAGCTTTCAGGGAAAGTGACTAAGTATAGAGATGTTAGAACAGATAAACACACAAACATTAACTAATCATCATCATTACCATCATCATCAAAGGCTCACTATGTGCTCAGCCTTCTGTTCCTAACTACCTGGGTACTTACTATCACTAATTTACTAAAATTTTCTTACTAGAATTGCAATTGCATGGTTTAAAAGGCTGTCTCTGTTTGTTATACTAATAAGTGGGAAAATACAAGAGAACAGGTCCAACATACCATCTTTTCCTTGGTGTTTGTTTTCATTTGTTCTGGCTGACTGTGATTCAGTGCCATCTGGAGCCTAAAGATAGAAAATGGGCCATTTAGTCATCTCCAACTCACAACCAGAAAAATGGTATTGTAAATAATTCCATTATTAACCTTTAGAAAGAAGTGTATTCAGAATTAAAGCAATCACAGGGAAAAATGTACTATGGTTATAATCAATAAAATATTCGATTACCCACAACTTGTAAGACACAATACTAAGCATCATGGGGAGCATGAAGAATGCCAAGAATGTCCCCACTACTAAGGAGGCCATTGTATAGTTGAGGGGAAAAGACAAACAAATCAAAAAGCCAGTGATATCCATCCATTGATGAGTACACAAACGAAATGGTCTAGTCACACAATGGGATATTTTTCGATAAAGTACCGATGCATGCTACAGCATAGATAACCTTGAAAGTTACCAGCCATAAAGGCCATATATTATATGATTCTATTTCTATGAAATATCCAGAAAAAATAAACCAGAGGGACAGAAAACAGATAAGTGGTTACCTAGGGGCAAAGAGGAAAATATAATATAAGGAAAGATTGCTAAAGGAGCATCTTTAGGAGATGATGGAAATGTATCAAAATTGATGGTGGTGATGGCTGCAAATATGTGAATATACTAAAAAGCACTAAATTGTAGACTTAAATGGATAAATGGGATGGGACGGACACTATATCTCAATAAGGCTATTATTATAAAAGAAAATTACAGAGTAACAGGTGGGTAATAAAATAGAAATCTTCTAATTTAAAAAAAAAAGCTAGTGATGTGAGATGTGAGATAAATTAAAACTAAATTACCAAATGGGTAGTAAGAGCACAGATATTCAAAGGAACCCCTTTTTTCAAGGGGTTGGGGCAGTGACATCTGAGGAATGCAGCCCTCGAAGGGCTTAGGGACACAGTCAAACCTGCTGACCCTCCTCACCAGTGAGTGTGGCCAGGCAGCTTCCTCCTTCCCACGAAGGGCTCCAGAACGAGCTCAGGAAGCAGGAAGAGGGGTCCATCAATCACACACAGATGTCTAATTGAATGAATTATTTTTAAAATAATCATTCCATCGGATTTTCATCTCTACACAGAAGAAGGTGGCCTTTGGGGTCGCCCTGACCATTCATTTCTCTCCAAGCTGTGAGCCAAGGATCTCCCTCCCTGCAGGCCAAAGAAGAGTCTAGAAACACACTGGGTCAGGTGCATAGACACCGTTCCTTCAGGACTTAGAGGCTGGGGCACCCGGGAGAGTGTATGGCAACTACCAAATCCCAGACATGGCTCAGGCTCATGGCTCACTCCAGTGCCCCTCGGGACTGGGCAATACCACCCCTTCCCTCTGCCCACAAGCCCTCCACAGCACAGTGAACACAGGGAGTGATCCTAATCGTACATACGAACACACACTTTAGAGCATGTGGTCGGAATTGTTTTCCTCAGCAATTGAAGATGACAGAGCAGATGGTACTCATTTCTGTATTATGTTTCCTGGTGTCAGCAAGGGCTTCATGAGGAATCATTTAAAATGGAAGAGCTGAACACGGGACTTATTTGAGAACAGAGGAACTGGGGGTGAAGATGGCTGGCTCACGTTTGCTTGAGGGGTGGAGGATATGGCTCTAATGGGCGGCGGTTTCAATTAAAGGCATGAAGTGTAAGCAAGTTAATGCTATTTTAAATTACATGACTCCACCCGATGATACAATCTACCAATTACCTTGAATTCAAACCATGTCGTTTAGGCATTACCGGGGATTTGCTGAGAAATCCTGCTTCTAGCACCAAGTAGCAACAGCCTCTTGGAAACTGGCATGAATCCCACAATATGTATTTTGCTCAGGCTCAGCTCTTTGTCCCCTTCCTCTTTGACTTCCTCTTACTTTTCTTGGTAATACTATAATTCCTAACCATTTATTTTTCTAAGAGCTGGAAACCAAGTTATGTTCCTCAATTGCAGTGGATGTCCAGTGGGGGTAAGCAAGTGCTTGACTGCCTCAGCTCCAAGACTCCTGCCTGGAACAATCCAGTGACCCCAAAACTGTAAAATGGACTGGATATGCCCGGCTGGCATGGCTCAGTGGTTAAGGGTCTACCTATGAGCCAGGAGGTCAGGGTTTGATTCCCAGGCAGGGCATATGCCTGGTTGTGGGCTTGATCCCCAGTGTAGGGCGTGCAGGAGGTGGCAGCTGATCAATGATTCCATCTCATCATTAATGTTTCTATCTCTCTCATCTTCTCCCTTCCTCTCTATATCAATAAACATATTTTTAAATTTAAAAAAAAAGTGACTGGATTTGCCTCACAATTGACATGTAAATGAAGAAGAAATCTGCAATTATCCAAGATTTCTTAGAAGAATAAAATGTCTACCAAAAGCAAAAAAACTACATGGCAGAAAACTACCTTAAATATAAGCCTTTTCATTCCCTCATTTCTATAAAGAATGATGAAATTTTTGTTAATTTTTATTTATAGTGTAAATAGTCTCACGATCTGATTACTTACAATCAGAAGAATGTATGGAAACCCAGATATAGCAGGAAGCATAGTGGTTAAAAACACATACTAAGAGTCAAACAAATTTGGGTTTACTATCTACGGGACATTGAGTAAGTTATTTAAAGTTTATGAACCTCCGCCATGGGAGGAAAACAGTAAATTTATCCAAAAGACAGCTGTAAGGATCAATTAGTTAAGGCAAGGAAAGTAGTCAGCACAGTGAGTGTTCAGTAGTGTAAGCAATTATTATTATTATTGCTGTTACTATCACTGCAATCATTGTTCACAATGCTTTTTGTTTGCACTAATTCATTCCAACTGCCCCGCTGGGGCCAGAGCGATTCAGTGTCATTGAGAATAGGCATCATTTAGTTCAGTGATTTTTTTTTTTTGGGGGGGGGGTGAGGGGGAAAGAAGGGGTTCTAAGACTTTCCTGATGAAGGAACGAATATTATTTTCTACATAGCCTACCAACTGTTTTGAGTAGCACTGCTCTGGGCAATACAGGTCTCCTACTTTCCCATTCTTCCCTGACATCTTTTCATTCACGAGTCCCACGGCGTCTACCAGACTCCAATAGTTTCCACTAATAAATTCATCACCTTCACAAATTTTCAATCAAATTTTCCATGTGCTGGGCACCGTGCTAAGTGCTAGATACAAAAGGGACATTTATTTCGTGTTTCGGGGTCCCTGCTTTCTAATTCCACTGCAGTTAGCTCCCTCACTTCTCACTTCCAGTCATCATCAAATGAGTCTAGGAAAGAGCAAACATTCCTATAAGAGTTAATAGCTAAGGGAGAATCTCCTACCTCCTACTTCTCTCTAAGTAACAATTAGTAGTCATGTGGCCTGGTGTGGGCGGGGGCACTCCTAATGCTCCAAGGACACCTCGCACTAGGACAATCAGACGGAATTGTAACTTGTTTAATTTTCTGCCCCATTTGCATTCCCTCCTAGAAGGAGGACAGGGATCAAGTCCCTCTTGATCGCTGCCAGAACAGAGCTCCAGTGTCTGGCACGTACTGTGCTCATGCTGTTTTCCATGATTTAAATTAAACTGGATCAGTCTAGTTGATTCTCAGCAGTTATTCCTTTGCCTTAACATAAAAAAACAAAACAACAACAACAAAAGCCAACACCACCTACTTTTTCTTTGGACTCTGCCTGTTGAGCAAATATGTCTCTGACGTCAGGAATGTGGTACTGTTTGTTCTTTTTCCTCAAGGTCTGGGTGACGGTCTCTACCCGTTTCTGAACAGCTGCTGCTTGGGTCCGGGTTAATGTTGATAGAAACACCATGCTTTCTTGGGGATCTCCGGCAGACTCCCCAAAGAGGTTAGACAAACCAGCCTCCTTCAGCCATTCTTCTTCCAGCTCGCCCTCTGAGACAGAGAAAAATGGTATTTAAGATCCCAAAATATGAGAACTTGTACATTTTTTAAGCTTCAAAAAACAAAAAACAAAAAAACAACAACCTCTTACTGAAACTCTTCTTTTACAACCGAACCACAGTGCTAACAATCATTATCTGGAATTTGGACCAATGCCATAGACTCCAGCTACAAAGATACCAGTTTTAGATCCATTTCATACATACTCCATTAAAAAATTTAAATGGCTTCACATGTAATTAACCTCTGTAACTTCTCTGCAGATGAACTGTGGGAAGATAATACTGTTCCCTTTCCAGAGATGAGCAAGCAATGAAAGTATAACTTATTTCCATCAAGGTATAGAAGGAAGTCAATACTGGGGAGATCCATTAAAGCCCTGCCTCTTAGATTAAATTCAGCCCTACACCCCCCCCCCCCCCCAACCAGGTCAATGCTAATTGATGGGAAGGTTTGCTTTCTCTGTTCACTATTGCTGACAGGGAGTGTGACGAAGAAATAAAGAGCATCTGGACAGCAGGGACCAATCCATTTCAAATTAATTTTTTAATTCCTCTGGTCAGCACATCAGACTCATGTTTTCTACAAATTAAACAAAAACATGCACACTATTTTAAGAAGAAACAAACAAACAAACAAAAATACTTTATAGGCAACAAGTTACACAACTAGATCAACTTAAACCACTAAAAGTAGGATGTAAACAGTAAAGCAAATATTGTCTGAGAGCTAATAAAAATGACAGGAAAAAAAAAAAAACAGAACAGATTTACACCAAACACCAAGTGTAGAGAGCAAAGTGAAAGCCTAGTTCTTGGAACACAAAAGACCTGCATCCATCCCTATGTCTGCACCTCAAAAGCCACATCACTTTGACCAGTCACTTAGCCTCACACTGACTTCTTTTTCTCATCTGTAACCTACAGCACAGCTGTCCCAGCTGCCTCCTGAGCAAACGTGAGAATGTTATATGGGACGAGCTTTGCAGGGCTCCATTACAGCTTATATCACATGATGTAGCACTGACTAGTTTTGCCTGTCTATCCTTCTACACTATGTAAACTCCTTGAGGGTAGAAATCAAGTATTAATAACCTTGGCTTCAAGAAACATAATGTAATGCCAGACATTTTGCATGCCCGGCAACAAAAACTCTTTACTACTGACATAAATTCAGCCATTCTTATTAATGCTGTTAAGGTAGAACTCAGGAAGGTGTATAAAACCAAATTGCCAGGGGAAAAGCTCATACTGCCATGATAAACAATATTACGATATCGAGTCATTTGTTCCACTAAAAAGTAGAGGTAAAACTCAATTTAAAGTCAAAGAAAAGGCATGGACATGTAAAAACATTCCTGGTTTTTCTCGTTAATCACCTAATGAACAACTATCTATGAATTTATTTTCATCTTGGAAAAAGATGTGGAATCTAAGGAACAAAATAACCCAATGAACAAAATAGATCCAGAGACATGGAAGCATGGAACAGACTGATGAATTTCAGAGGGAGGCAGGGAGGGAGTGGAAGGGAAGAGATTAACCAAAAATGTATATGCATCTATGCATAACCCATAGATACAGACAATAGACAAATATGGGAGGTGAGGGAGAGGGGAGGCTGGAGGTCAGGTAGAGGAGGTCAATGGGAGGTAAAAAGGGGACATCTGTAATACTAAAGATAAATTTTTAAAAAAGAATTCTCTCATTGTAAAAAAAAAAAAAGTGAAATAGCTAATGACACACAGGAATGAATCAGGCTGAATGCTGTTTCCTATAGAATGTTTTCTCCTTATTCAGCAGGTCACTGTTGTGCTGTGTCTACTGAGACAGGCTGAGATTCTGTTATCACAAATAAGTCTGACTTGACTGGTAAAGTGAGAAAAAGAAATGAAAGAAAACCCAAACAAAGGAATGAATGGGCTATAATTTATATAAAGAAAAATCTGCAATTTTCATTTTTAAAATATTATTGGTAAATTTTCCAAGCAATACTATAACCAAGGAGAAAGAACTGTTAAGATAGATTCCTCTGCTTAAACAAATCAATGCTCAGTCATTTCATGAAGTCTTCAATTGAAAAGAAGATCACTACTAGTGGGTAATGAGATACTGACTGTGGCTCTTACTTTTTTGGCACTTATATACCAAAGGCATACTTACAAACTTATGGATGGCCCAAGGCATAGAAAGAAAACTATATAATAGATGTCAAAATTGGACATTAAAACTTAATGACTGCTTGAATTTAAGATTAAAAGATGTAGTATGGTGTGTCATCCCCTGCAGCAAAAGGTCACAGGTTTGATTCCCAATCAGGGAACATGCCCAGGTTGCTGGTTGGGTCCCCTATGGAGGTGTGTACAGAGGCAACCAACTGATATTTCTCACATGGATATTTCTCTCTCTCCCTTTATCTTCTCTCTCTAACTAAAAACAGCCAAAACCAGTTTGGCTCAATGGATAGAGCATCGGCTTGGGGACTGAAGGGACCCAGGTTCGATTCCAGTCAAGGGCATGTACCTTGGTTGCGGGCATATCTCCAGTAGGGGGTGTGCAAGAGACAGCTGATCGATGACTCTCTATCATCGATGTTTCTAACTCTCTATCTCTCTCCCTTCCTCTCTGTACAAAATCAAGAAAATATATATTTTTTTAAAAAGTTACTAAAAACATATTTCTAAGAATAGTGTGAAATTTAAGGGATGGGGGAGTAAAAACCTCCCACAAGGAATAATTCACAAGAATCTCTTTTCCTTCTAGAAAGGACTTGTTGAGCAACAAAATATCTTCCAACATTGGAAAGGCTATCATGTAAAAATAGAATAGACTTGTTCTACTCTTTCAAAACGCAAAACTACAGCATGTGAGTCAAAGGGGGTATAGCCAAACATAATCAATGGAATAGAGATAATCAAAACAACTCAAGCTGACTGACTGGAGGAAAAGCAATAACGCTGTGAGGCAGTGAGCTTTCCATGAGCATCTACCCTCACTGGAAGCCATGTGACCATTTGGCTAGGATACCACAGAAGGAATTCAAAGGGAGGTTAAATGATTCCAGAGATCAAGTCCAACATTAAAATTCTGTGACAGGGTGAGCTCAGCCAACAGGATTGTGGCCTTATAAGCTGAAAGGAATTTACTGATGCCACTTGAATTTGGCAGCTGCATCCATAAATCTGTCACAGATGGTCATTCTCAAGTGGAAAGGCAACCTGCATTATGTTTCTCCAGTCACCCTCCCTTTAATTATTTATTGTTGTCCTCCCCTTCTTCCCACGCATGCTCCCATAAATGCATATACAAAGCAACAAGTTTTACTTAGTTTGTTCTTACCATCAGGCTCTTTGACAACCACCACCTCTTGATCTTGTCTGTTCTCGCTGGATTTCTTGATATCGTCTATTTCATTCCAATAGTCCTCCATAGATGATAGCTCATCCACGGAATCCTGGGAACTTGATCGATCAAATGGAGGCTTCTCCTTCGCTTTGGAGGTTTCTTGGTTCATAGTGTACTGGCCATATCTGCGACTATAAATTCAAAAGAAAACATGGTTCGTTTTAGTGCACGGGGAAGTAGTACCGTTTCTAAAATATCATAGCACTGAGCTGAAAATTTGGAAACTCCTTAATAAAGCCAGAAATATATATTTTGAAACCATTTATCTTGAGATGCTACTAATTATAATATACTTGTAGAAGGAACTGTTTCATTCTTTACCTCCCCCAAACAGTATGGTGAAGAACAAATAGCAATGTAAGAAATCATTTTTTCATTTCCATTTCGCTTAAATGATTTTGACTTCTTTATACCTGAAATTTTGTTCTTAGAAAACAACAGGTTAAATTTTTATTAGAGGCTATTAGTTAAATAAATTGGAATTGAATTTGTACACAGTATTTCATGTTTATCATTTCTATCTGTCAACCAAACTTGGTCCACCTTTATGTAGCAAATATCTGAAATCAATTAATTAGGTGCTATTTGAATTTACATTTTATTTTGGAACCAAAACATAAACAGAAGAATAACATATTAAGTCCATTTTTCTATAGAAAGCAACATTTTTTAAAAAACATGGTTTTATTGATTTGAGAGGAAGAGAGAGAAAGATAGAAACATCAATTATGAGAGAAAATCATTGATGGCCTGCTTCCTGCATGCTCAATTCTATTAGGGAATGAGCCAGAAACCCGGGCATGTGCCCTGACCAGGAATTGAACTATGGCCTCATGGTTCTTAAGTTAATGCTCAACCACTGACCCACACTGGCTAAGCTAGAAAGCAACTTTTTTGGTACCCATTACTGATACGTATTTTTTAAAGTGATGAAACTTTCATTTTTTTGGAAAAATTAACTTATGGGTGATTCTGAATGAATATCTAGGGTTACCACTTAAACATTTATTTCAAATATCATCTATGGCTAAAAGGATAAATTGAATAAGTGAAGGTATTTTTATGACTTTAAGTTAACTATATTTTTCTTTATAATTCACATCTCACCTTCTACTAAAATTTAATTAAAGGACCTTATAATAAAAATCCACATAAAACAGAAATTTTAAATTCTTGTTTCATACTATTTATATTGAGATAAAGGGATAAAGCCCAATTACTTTTAGAAAAGGAAAATTATCATTTATGGTACCTGTCCTTTATATTCAATAATTTTAAAAAAGTACAATTTGAGTGGGGACAATAATTGGTAAATTGGTGTTTTGTTATTCTAATTTCACATTGTTCTTTTATCTCCCAGAAGATGTTAGGAAGCAATACTTTGCTAGACTGGTTTTACTAACTGCACATACAGAAAATAAAAAGAAATGCAATAAAATGAAATTCTTTAATAGCATGTGAACATTTTTACATTTAGACTGGCCTTTCCTATCATTATTTTAAATAGTCAGATTTAATACTACATAAGGGAGAGAGGGGTCACTAAACTCTAGTCAAAGCTACATAGCCATTAAATTTGAACGGTTTCTTAGAAAAAGTCCAAGAATTTAATTGCCTATTGATGCAAATAAATGCAATAGAACTGACTACTTAAATGTAATACACTAATCATCTAGTTTTATTCCTTGAAAGATGGTTCTCTCTGCCTTGATTATGCACTGGTTGCATTAATGAGTGCACAATCGCTATAATCTCGACTCAGAAGCCGTGGAGGGTGGTGATGGATGAGTGTTAGGACGAGGGCCAACAGGAGGAAGTCTGGGCATGTTTTCTGTGAATCTCTTTCCTCCAGTTTCCATTGTCCATTGTTTGCCTCCCCCATCCCTTAATTCAAGGACTACTTCCTCCCTCCCTGCCCCAACCATCCTGTTTACATCCCTGTATCCCAGTCTCTTCCCCTTCTCTCACCCAAGTGGCCTCGATAAAGTCACTGTTCTCATTTGAGAGTTCACACTGCTTCTTGAATGAAAATGTGAATGAGAAAGCTCTCTCTCTCTTTAAAACAAATAATTGTTTTTACATTTCTGTGATCATCAGCTCAAATTCCTTAATTCTGCTCCATCAGGGTAGCTAAAGGTAATTTACATTATGTCTGCCACATTCATTTTGGGTTTAGTTCATGTCCCATAGAGGCCCTATCCTTACTTTTGCTTTATCTTTCACTGTAACATAAGATTGTCTACCTTATTCCTATCTTCTACAACCCTCAGCACCTGGAAGACTATGACAAGTACTGTGGAATGTGTGAAGCATAATGACTAATGCCAAATAATTTGGTTTATCTGCTTACAGGAAAGAGGTGCAGTTGAACTTAAACTACATTAAGTCTTTCATTCCTGAAAGAATGTGTTTATTCTGGCAAGAACTTTCCAGTAAATTTCCATTAAGATAGTATGTGCAGAAAAATGCAAGGGCACTGAGTAACAGCATTGTTACGTAAATGCACCTTCTATATCAAGCCCTGCTTTCACAATAGACACAAAGCAAAAATCTAATCACTTAGTGCTGATGAATCCACTCAATATTTGGACCTATTCAAAAGCTGAATAGGTTTTCTGTGAAAACCTGAAGAAGATACTGAGTCATGGAAAGATTGATTTTTTTAAATCATTGGTATATGTCACAAGGGAAGATTTTTTTTTTTTTTTTAATAATAGAGGATGCAGAGTAAGGAGGAGATAAGAAGATCCTCCATAGTCAGCATGCAATGCATTTTATATTTTCTCTGCAAATGTAACTGAACATTCTTTAATTACTATTTTCATCAATAAACATATCTTTTCAGAATATGTTCTACTTTTAAACTCCAGTCAGGCAATGGCTAAAAAACTGGCCTTTCTTAAAACTGTCCTGGTAAGAGACCAGTTAACTAGTTTTCTCTCCTCTGTGTTTAGAAGTATGTAATATGATACCACATTCATTCTGCAAATTGGGTTCAAGAACATAAAGCAACATCTGCTACACATCATGAAGTGCAGAGCAGAAATGTTTTATATTTCCAAAAGATCCAAGCCAACACATAGTGCTGAAATCGAAGAAACACAGTCTGTACCTCAGGCAACTACCAATCATCCCCACCTGACTTACTGGCCAAAGATTGTTCTCATTCTCTCTCTCTCTCTCTCTCTTTCTCTCTCTCTCTCTCTCTCTCTCTCTCTCTCTCTCTCTCTCTCTCTCTCTCTCTCTCTCTCCAGAACCCTATGTGCTAATCCCATAGCCACTCTTTAAAACTGGACACCGTCCTGTAAAAGAAGTTGATTCCGAGGTAACTGCAAGAGTCATGATCTTATGCAACTAGCATTCCAACACATTATAGTATTATCACTTTGCCCCTTCTCCGTGGGCACTGTCACCAGCAAATACTAACTTTATAGACCCTAATTCAGGAAATGTCTTTCTTTTTCATCTTGATAGCAGGATCCCATGCTATGTTTATTTAAAAAAATAAGGCTTTATTCCTACAGTGTTGCCTGCTGGTTAGAACATCAGCCCAGACAGAGGGGTCATGGGTTCCATTCTCAGCAACCAATCAATGATGTGTGTCTCTCACATCTCTCTCTCTCTCTCTCTCTCTCTCTCTCTCTCTCTCTCTCTGTCTCTGTCTCTCTCCCTCCCCCCTCACCCTTTCTACTCTAAAATTATCAAATGTAAAAAATATACATTGTGGGGCTTTTTGCCCCTATATTTTTCCCCAGGTATATTTTCTCCTATTTTCCTGTGATATTTTTCACTAATCAGTGAATTTTGCATGAACCAATATTATTCTAAGTATTAGCAATGCCTGTTACTCGTTTTGTCACAGAGAATAGTAAACTGGTCTGACACAAAATGCTCTTCACAAGGAGGTGGAAGTGTCCAGGCAATACACTGTGCTCTAGTGGATGAAAACAAGCCAGTTAATGAGTCATCCTAGTACCAACACCATCAGCGAAAGAACATAGAACATGGGGCTGGGAGTGCTAAGTACCAAATGGCTCCAGTTCTACTTAACCATCTCTGTGATCTGGGGAAATCACTTAACTTCTCTCATCCTAACTTTTCCCATAAAATGGGAAGAGACCAATAATCTGGACTGCTTTGCTTGTTATCAAGTGAGAATTCTTCCTGAAGTGCCTCATAAGCAACCATAAAGAGGGCACTTAAGTTAGCATCTTTGCTAACATCTGATTTAAACTGCTAACTCCATGTAACTGCCCTCCCACCGATTAATAAGATCATCTGTACCCTCTTCAAAGGTTCAGATTTATTTATCCTCCAGGACAGCCTTTCTTAAGCCTTACAAGGACTCCACACTTAAAAAGTTTAAAGTAATCCCAAAAAGCTTTGGCTTATATAGGTTACATTTATTAATGTGTATACTATTATATATTAAAATGGAAAATTACATACCGATTTATTTAATAATAACAAACATCTTAACATTTTTTTAAATCTACATTTTTCCATACAAAAAATATATGTATATAGTGAGATGAGTAGCATTGCTTCACATTTTTGAAACTTCTTGAATGTCTGGTTTAACAGAAGACATCTGGATTCTCACATCTGCTTCTGCATTCAATCTTTTGCCATATTGCATGTCATGTAGCCTCTGCCAAACTCCACTGTATTCTTATGAGAGAATGAGAGTGAGAAGGGCCAGTAATGCTGTGGTGTTGCTATGAAAATCGTTTTGATCTCCTAGACCCCTGAAAGAACCTAGAGACCCCTAGGTATTCCTGGACCACACTTTGAAAACTGCTGCTCTGGGAATTCTCAAAAAACAACACCTAATGCACTTCTAAAAAGCACTTTTTAATTCCGCGGACAACCTTCCAGAAAGCCTTACTGAAGGAAACAGACATGCTTTCTTAGTGACTCTTGACCTACTTCTTTGTTTATTTTAGTTTAGTTTTACAGCCTTTCATCAAAACTGGGATTTAATCCAACGCTATATCCATATTTAACTTATACTACAATGAGAAATAATAAAAACGTCATTGAGAACCCCCTGCCTTGCCAAAGTCTTTTATCATTTGCTTTTATCCGTCCCTATAAGAGGAAGAAGTTCTCTCTAAGCTTCCCCTTTTGG